AAAGAAAAGGAGAAAAAGCAAAATTAGAAGAAAAACCAGCAAAGAAGAAGAGTTAGTTATTGTAGTTAAAATTAGTTGTTCCAGTTAGTTATTTTCTGTTATTTTGTTATTCTGTTAGTCCATTTCATCTGATGGTTATTTCTTGTATAAATACAGCTCACGTCTGATGTAAAGTTTTGATCAATTCAGCTCATTAATGAAATAATCATTTCATATTATTCTAGCTTCCATTTTTCTGATTCAAAATTCAACATGATATCAGAGCTAGTTTTATCTAGCTGAATGTCTCCACAACATTATTTGCTTGTGCTCTACAAGAATTAATTCCTCTTTACAAAAATTCTGCTCCGAAATTTTCTATGCCAATTTTCCAATATGAATTATGAGGGTTCATCCATATATCCTCCTACAAATTCAAGTAATTCCTTCATTAATCCTTCAGACGATTCCTCAACTCCGTATTCCATCCTAGTGACAATCCTGATGCTTTGCTGGTATCAGAAATTTTCAATGGAGATAACTATGTCGCATGGAGTCGATCAGTCATTATAGCTTTGACAGTCAAGAACAAGGTAAAGTTCATTGATGGCACAATTTCTCCTCTGGCTACTAACCAACTTATCAATCACACGGCATGGCTGCATGGGAACAATATAGTCCTCTTTTGGTTGATGAACTCAATCACCAAAGACATAAGAAACAGCTTGTTGTTTGTGACATCAGCTATGGACCTCTGGAATAAACTCAAGGCCAGGTATCTAAGAAGTGATGGACCAAGAATATTTCACCTTGAAAAATCCCTAAGCTATATAAGTCAGGGATCTTCATCTATCACTAAATATTTCAGCTCTTTCAAGAATTTATGGGATGAATATATTAGTTATAGGCCATTTCCAACATGTCCGTGTGAAAAAATGGCATCATGTACTTGTGAGTTGTTCAAATTTTTGCAAACTCAACAGCAATCTGATTATGTGCTAAAATTTCTAGTTAGGTTAAATGATTCCTTTGCATCTATCAGAAATCAATTACTTCTTACGGTTCCACTACCTAGCATGGCCAAAATATTCTCTATAGTGCTTCAAGAAGAAAGTCAGCGACAACTGACAAATTCGACTTCATATATTGAGACACATGCCTTGATGGCTAAACGCATCAATCAACAGACTTACTAGCCAAAATCATTCAGGGATAGATTCAAGGCCCCTTATCTATGTTGCACCCACTATAGTTATACTGGACATAGGGTGGACAAGTGCTTTCAACTTCATGGATACCCTTCTAATTGGACGAGAACGAAAGGGAAAAGAAATAGTTCTGAAAAACTTCTACATATGCTACACTTACATATCAAGAGGCTTCCAATCAAAATGATAATGATGAGCAACAAAGGTTCTCCTTTAGAGGAATTTCATAAGCTCATGGTACTTGCTAATTCAACACCAGCAGATTCTTCTACCTAGAATAATACTCAACCAGTTGTCAACCTTGCCTCTACATCTCATTTCTCTGGTAGACACAATTCACATCACATGCTGTTTGTTGTAGTTCAACTTCATCTACATTACAATCTAATTTTTCTTGGATTCTTGATACGGGGGGCAATAGATCATAAGATCTGTTACCCATCTTTATATTTACTCCACTCCTCAGCCTATCAGTGCTTCCATATATCTCCCTAATGGCATTAAAGTTCCAACATCTCATATTGGTACTATGTGCCTCTTTAATTCTCTATTTTTGCATAATGTCCTATGTGTTCCCACTTTTTCATTCAATCTATTATCTATATCGAAAACTCACCAATCAATCTAATCTTTGCCTTACTTTTACCACTTCTCATTATACTATATAGGACCAATCAATGAGGAAGACGATTGGGATTGCCTTTGAGAAAAAAAGGATTGTACCACTTAATCCATGCTTCATCAAAGAACCAGACCAGTAATCATTCTACCTCTGCACCATTAGCATCAGCCATCACCCACAAACAGTTTGACATTTGGCACTATAAGCTAGGCCATGTTCCTAACTCTAGATTACTCTCTCTCAAGCAAATTGAACCTTCCATTACTCTTGATTGTACAAACATTTGTGATATATATGTCCTCTAGCAAAACAAAGAAAACTTCATTTCTTTGTATCACGGCATAAATCCAATAAAAAGTTTGAATTGATTCATTGTGATATTTGGGAACTCTTTAGCACCATTCCCTATTCCGATTTTAAATACTTTCTAACGATAGTGGATGACTTTACAAGATATACATGGGTATATATGATGAAAACAAAATCAGAAGTACCATATTTACTCAAAACCTTTTGTAGAATGGTAGAAAACCAATTTTCTACCTCTATCAAAATCATACGGTCTGACAATGGATCAGAATTCTTTCTCACAAAATTTTACAACAAACTTGGTATCTTGCATCAAAGAAGGTGTGTAGAAACTCCCCAGCAAAATGGGTCGTGGAAAGAAAACACCAACACCTCTTAAGCATTGCTAAAGCATTAATGTTTCAAGCATTAATGTTATTAAACAATTCAACGGAAATGTAATTAAAAAAATCTACTTGGATATAAGATTTGAAAATTGAAAGAAGATTGTATCTCGCTTCGACATTTCTGCCAATTTCTCTCTTCTCTAGGGTTTCCTCAGATCGACAAGGAGGAACGAGGGTTTATTTATTTTTATTTTTTTGAATGATGTGTTTAAGGATGTTTGGACATGGGCCATTGCAATTAAGGGCTTGTTTGGTAACTTATGGCCCAGCAGCCCATTTCAAAATGACTTTGGAGAGTCATTTTCATGGGAAGAATACATAATTCAGGCATTAACTATCCCATTCAATTTTAAGAGAAAATGTTTAAAAAATTCAAAATTCAAGTGATATATAATCAATATTATATATAAAACAATATATTATATATCTAATAAATATCCATCATAATATCTCGACCCACTCCAAGTCCTTCTCTCTCCATTATTCTCTACCTCTCATTATCTCTCTCCCTATCCTCTTCTATCTCTGATTTTTCCCTTTAACAGTTGTGCTCATCATCGGTGCTGCTCAACGATGAGCTTCGCTATGCACGATGAGACGCAGTGTCGCTAACTGTAAATGGTGCACACTTCTATGAGGCGATCTTAGAAGTTGTGAACCTGGTAGAGGTGGATGTAGAGGTCTGGAAGGTGGGTATGGATTAGGTGGAGGAGTAGGTAGTGGTGAATTGCGCGATGGAATTGGCAATGGAATGGTGGTAGATCTGGAAGAAGACTTAGTGAAGGAGCAAAAGGTGAACAGCGGTGCTAACAGTGTAGCAGCCGGAGATTGTAAGTGATTTTCTTTTCTATGGGAGGTTTTTTTGATCTTTGGGTGGGTGATTTTCTCTGGGTGATTGTTGATGGAAATGGCAGTTGTTGATAGATCAAATTCAATGTGATTTGTAAAATTTTGGTGTTGTGATTTAAATTACATGTAAACTGTTACCCGTAATGTTGATCCAGTGGCTTGTGATCAATTCTCTTGGATCTATGAACTTTCAACATTGATTAGTTACATGTGATATTGATTCAATGACATGTGACCAATTCTCTTGAATCTGTGACTTATGAACATTAATTTGTTACCTATGGATTATGACATCTGAATTGTTACTTGTGACTTGTTATCTTTGCACAAATATATGTGACATATGATCTGTGATCAATTAATATTGATACGTGACCTATGCAATATGACCTGTGACATGTGGAGGGTAACCTGTGACCTACAAGCATAATTTGTGACCAATTCTAATTGATTTATGCCCGTGCACTTTTTATCTGTGGTCTATGTCTAATTACCTGTAACATGGTACATGTGACCTATGACCTATCTCCACCCTACACCATTGTCAGATACTGAGACAGCATTTGACATACACTCTATGAACATGTGAACATTGCCAGCACAATCACCACCACCATAAAAAGACCATTCATTTATTATTTAAGATCAAATATTTTTTATTGGTCTAAAGCATCGATTTTATTAGTCACATTCACAAATTAACCAAATTTATTGTTCACAGACATTTATATAATTGGTCACAAACCCTTTTTATACAACCTCGACTCCAACCCAACCCAACCTAAACTACAACTACCACCATCTCCACCACTTCACCAAGATTTTCCAAGCAATCTACATTGATAAACACAAGTTACTACATTCTGGGCAACTTTATTACTTCTAGAATTTGAAGAAAAATTAGCAACATAAGCCCCATTTTCCAAACACGTGATGAAAAATCCTTCATAGTCATAAAATGAAATTGACTTGTCCCACTTCTGCAAACAACAAAAACAAGATTAAAAAATCAACACATAGCAAAAAGCACAAGAGAACTAGAAGTGGCATACCTCACTTAATCAGCTAGAAAATGCTTCAAAATTTGGTAGCAAAGGCTTAATCCTTGTGTGGTAAATCCGAGACTGTGACTTTGAACTTGGGCTTTGGTCTAAAGAAGGAGAAAGAAGTGGCGAAGCCAGTAGTAGCGAAGGAAACGACGCCGAGGAGAGAGATAAAGAAAAAGATCGTTAATTTAGCAAAATGTAGAAGAGATATTTCTACAAAATATTAGCTAGGTTATGAGTTTATCCATAATTACTAGATTAATGATCTGTTGTGCCCAGTCCTCAGAGCCAATCCTTTTTTCGAAGTTACGGATCCATTTTGTCGACTTCCCTTACCTACATTATTCCATTGACCAAAGGTTGTTCACCTTGAAGACCTGATGTGATTATAAGTACGATCGGGCGCTGACGGTACTCACTATTGTTAATATTAAAAGTTCAATTATAACCTGATTTTTGAATATATAAATTTTAAACTTGATTTTTGAAGTTAGAAGTTAAAAAACATGCGTTCCACTATTTATTTTCGTACATATATAAACTTGTTTTAAGCACTTAATTCACTTATGAGGTGGCTTCTCTTTCTTAATCTCATGCAAACATGCTCTTAATATGTGGTGATTTTAATTTCATACTGCCACCCGCCGAAATACAATTACTCCGAACAAAATGTCCAGCACAAGCTCACTCTTCGGCTCCCCCATCCCCTTCCCACGCGCCCCCGCGAAAACTAAGATTAAGCTTCGCCACCATCTCCCCACAGTCAAAATGTCTATTTCTAATTCAAACCCCGTAACCACCCTCACTAAACTCCTCTGGGGCCGGTCCCTGCCACCCCATCTCCTCATCTCCACGGTCCGCACCACCTGGTCCGCCGCCTGGCACCTCATGATGTCCCAGCTCGCCCCCTCCGACCCAACTGGCCGATACACCCGCCCCGCTTCCCAATTCAAAAACCCCACTAGCCTAAACCTTACTAATCAAAACCTTCACCTCTATATCGGTCTCCCTTGCCCCTGGGCCCACCGGACCCTTATCGTCCGAGCCCTTAAAGGGCTCGAAGAATTCGTCCCAGTTTCAGTTGCCGCCCCCGGAATGGATGGTTATTGGGAATTTAGGGATAGTACTGTTCCTGTCCTCGATAATGATATCATAGTTCCTAGCTTGGATAAGGCCAATGGATGTAAAACTTTGATAGAGGTTTATAATTTACGCCGGGGTGGCTATAATGGCCGGTCCTCCGTTCCAATGCTTTGGAATGTGAATAAAAAAGAGGTTGTTTGCAATGAGAGTTATGACATTATTGAGTTGTTCAATTCTAGATTGAATGATGTAGCTCAAAATCCAGGATTGGACCTCTCGCCGCCTTCATTGAAGAAGAAAATCGACGAATGGAACCAAATCATATACCCTAGTGTTAATAATGGAGTCTATAGGTTGGTGATTTTTACAATCTTTTGCGCGATTTTGTAGTGAATTTTGATCAATACTCATGATGTATTTGGATTTGTAGGTGCGGATTTGCGCAGAGTCAAGAAGCATATGATAGCGCAGTAAATGAGTTGTTTAGTACTTTAGAAATGTTAGATGATCATTTGGGGAGTTCTAGGTTCTTGTGTGGAGATACAATTACCCTTGCAGATGTATGTTTGTTCACAACATTGATAAGATTTGATCTTGTGTATAATGTTTTGTTCAAGTGCACCAAGAAGAAGCTAATTGAATATCAAAACCTTCATGGTTATATGCAAGATATATATCAGGTACACATTCTTGTTGCTTATATTTACTACCTACAATGTACTTCCGTTAAGATTGTGTTGGGAAGAAAGACTTTCATCTGAATCCCCTTGGGATGTTTTTGATTTCGTTTATGATAACGTGTTTTGGATGTTTACCGAGACATAGATAGCTCATCTAGGCAATGCTCTTCTTTTTCGTGGTAACAAATAGTACTTGTGAAGATATTACTATGCAATTTGTAGAGTCTGTAACCGGTGATAGATAACAAGTTAACAAATAGTATTTGTAAAGATATGATTTGGGAGTCTGTACTTAGTACTGGGACTTGGAGAAGTCATACTTCGACTTTGTGATCAAACATGGATTACTTATTCTTTTTTGAGTGATGCTATGCTTACAGGTTGACAAAGTAATTGTTGGCAAAATTAAGATCACTTAATTTAAAAATAGTTTTTGAAAGCAACAAAATTCATTGGCCATGATCTTGTCAACACACACTTGGTCTACCATTTTTGTCAAACTACTTTGTACGAGTAGTTTAATTGTTCTTTTTTTCATGAGAAATAGTACTCTTGAAGACATTACTATGCAATCATTACAATTTTTGTGGGATTCGTGAAGAGACTCGTTTTTGTTCCTTTATATGTGACTGATGCTCACATTCTTGAACAGATTCCCAAAGTTGCAACAACTTGTAATTTTGAAGCCATTATGGATGGGTACTACAAAACTCTTTTCCCGTTGAATCCAAGCAATATTCGGCCGGTGATTCCTTCAACCTCTACACATGAAGTGCTATCGAAGCCTGTCAACAGGGAGTCCTTGTCGTTGGTTGGAAGCAATTGTTGAACTGAAATTTCATAGTAGCAAATTACGTACAACATAGTTGTTTTTCTAAATGGTTTTCATGTGTATTTTAGGAAGGTATCATCTCTATACATAAAATTCGCTTTATATCAACTTTGAGTGTCGAGAGATGCTCTTGTTCCAAATAACACGGCTCAATAACAGTCCGCTTCTTCCGAAGTGCAAGTGCACAAGAGCCATTGTATTTAGCCTTTGGTCTTAAAATTTGTGGTAGTTGTAGATTGTTGGGTTCTGTCATTTTAAGTAATGAATCTAATTGCACACGCCCTATTTTCAACACTTGTAAGCCTTGTTAGGGGTGGCAGTGGCCTGGCCAAGCTGGACCAGCTAGATTCTTAAACACCCGAGCTCAGCTTGAGGACTGAATTTTGGAGTTTTGAAAACGAATATATAGAAAAGAGTTTTGAAATAGTTGTTGTCAAACAATGGCAAAATGAGCACAAAAGACGAGATTTTTTATTTTTTTTTTGGGTTTTAATAAAAGAATTAATAAAGCAAGCCAAAAAACAAGAAAGAAAACGAGCTGGCTCGAGTGAGCTCAGCTAGAGTCACTAGACAGCGACTCAGCACATTTGCCACCCTATGTTTTGTTATTATTTAGAGGCTATACTGCTATAGTTAGAGAAGAAAAAGGAAGCTCAAGTTTCCCCCATCACATTGGGGGGACGGAAGAGTGGTGTTAAGTGAAGGGTAATTGCAATGCAACAGGAAAAACAAGAACAAAAACCAAAAAAGTCCTTCAATTCAAAACATGCTTAAATAAATAGAGTCTCAACTTTCAAGTGCAACCACATACGAACTCAACTTGTCTGCCATCCAAGGCTCATTACCACATAAGACTTGCAACATTACAAAGGAAAGCTAAGATACGATATTATACTTAAGCTGAATCGATAGATATATTATAGCTTGTCCATCAAAAGATTCAAAACCAGTGCAGTCTACTATAATCCAATATTCTATCACGGGCCAAGGTGACAATGTCAAAACAGCAACACAGAAACAACAGCCATTGAGCCTCATCCCCTAGATGCTGATTTAGATCCTGTGGCACAAAAGGCTCTGATTGGTCGATAACACTCATAAATATAAACAAGTTAATCTCAGTGTTATGCACGATATACACAAACTTTCTGTGATCCTATTTCTGAGATTCATCAACATAGTCACGACATATTTGTAAGAATGAGGTAAATAAGAATGCGTTTGATAGCCAATATTTTCTATGAAAATGTCATTTTTTACCCAAATTCCTACTTTTGTGCTGTTTGGTTGATATTTTTTCCACGAAAAATATTTTCCTACTTTTGGTTATGTGAGCAAATTTTCTTTGTAAACAAGGAAAATAGGTTCTTTAGGGGGTAGATTTTTATTTTCCAACTAATTCACTCTATCTTTCTCTCCCATCTACCCAGTCACCCCCATCTACCTACCAATAAAAAATGGACAAATATATCATTTTCTAGGTTGAAATAAAATCAAACACGTTTAATATACAATTTCTATGCAATATACAATTTCTATGCAAATAATTTCTAGGCAATTGAATTGCCTAGAGATTATTTGCTTTCTATGTAAATTCCATGCTCGCAATCAAACACACACACTAGAAGTTAGGAGATCAGATGTTTGATTAACCTGCCTGCAATTGGCAATCATATTGCCACAAGGTGCTATTCATAGTAGTTGAGAAAAGCAATGAGGTCTTTCTACAAGATGTATTAAACTCGACAGGTCAAATTTGAAACTAAAACAAGGAGACCTATATAAGATCGCTTACTGTAACGCTTAATGTTGCGGCAGAAGTTGCTACCGCATTGACATCGAAATGGCTTAACAAGATGGTCATGGTCGTCAAAATCAATACCATAGTCCTGCAATTGATAAACTTGTTTAATGAACACCACATTCGTTGGCAAAACAATAATTTTATTTCATATCTATGTTGTATTACATAAATATGCAACTGAATGTCATATGGCCAGATAAATCAGATATGTATTGCAATAAGCTGAATTTAGCAAACAAGCCATAAGAAACACTCTGGAGGTATCTCTCTCTTATTTGTGATAGTTATATATACTTGTTTGGAACTGTGAAGAGTAACTTTAAACACAAGGCATGATTCAATGAAATAAATCACTCACCCAAGTGAGTTCTTCCATGGCATTCACCTTTCTCGTAGTGAAGAAGGCCAACTGTGATGAGATACACAAAATCCAATTGAGTTATTGATTCCAATTAAATATTGATTTAATGAATTGACTCCAGGAAACTTAGAGAATAGACTAATGTAAAACGCAGAGAGGAAAAAAGGATGGTATTCATACATGATAATAGTGGTGATCAGGGATCTCCACTTGCACCGGTATCTCTACCAAGTTTGAGTCTCGACATCTAGCGTGATGCAGATAAAATGATTTTAAGCAAAATAAATATTCAATACAAATACAAGTCTGATTTTGAAATAGAAGTATTTCTGAACTATTGTTCTCCCATCTTCAGATGCAGATGCTGAAGAAAGATAAAAAGGATAATTTCATTTAAATGATGAAGATAATATATTCAAGCAAATACAACTTCATAGACGTGTGTGTGTGAAGGGGTTACTATAAGTGCAGAATAGTATGAGTATAACCTGAAAAGTAAAAATAAGAACTTCAGAACTCAGTGCTACTCTTCTATGATATTTGATGGCACGAAGCAAGTTAGAGTCAATGATGTAAACCTCCAGTGAACTCTTCAGTGGAAAGAATGCATCAAACTATTGACAAATCTTGTTGGCCTTAGTCTTATGCAATTATGTCTAGTGCTCGTGTGTGAGAATGTCATGTCTTTCTAGATTATTTCATGTTTTGGTTTGAGGGGTGGCAAGCAGGGGCTTGAGGAAGTTTGACCAAATGTCGTAGGTAAGGATATAGTCGTTTTAAGTCTTCCAATAGATGTATCAATGAATCGACGGAGTGGTGAAAAAGAGCTGAACCCCCAAACTCATTGGGAACAAGGCTTAATTTGTGGTTTTTTTTTTCCAGGTAGACTGGAGATAATAAGTTCATATTGGAAGACAGTGCTCATATTTTAAGCATACATAATTGAGTTACTAAATTCTACTGCAGCACAAATTAAAAAGGCGGGATAATCCAACAGTTGATTTCAACAGAAAAGAGTAATGCACACGAGCTAGCTTGAAACATGTGTGTGTGTGTTGTGTGTGTGTGTGTGTATATATCTTTTTGAGTATGTATATCTTGGTCAAATTGAAAATAAGCTTGCTTTACAACTTAAGAGTCATTAAAAAAAGTTAGCACAGCCAAACATGTTCTAAAACATTCAAAAAAATATTTTGACTTAGTTTTGAACTTAGGCAAACATGATCATTGTCAAACTAACACACCTGTGATTAATAAACCTTGCTACATTTCCATAATCTGTAGCATCCAAGCATAACGCCTCCTCATCCTTTCGAACTGCTTTCGAACCCCAATCAGCGTCCAAAAGTACAGGATTTGAATTCCCCTTCCCATTGGAGCTTTTCGAAACACGATCAAAGAGCTCTGAGTAGGTTAAAATTTCTCCAACATACTCACAAACAAAGGCACCTTTTGGCAGGTCCTCCAGGGTACGTAGCCCCCAACCTTTTCCTTCAAGGGTCATAAACACCTAGACAGAGGAAAACATAGAGAGAATATTAAAAGATCAATATTAAAGCACTACAAATTCAGACTCAATCAGCAAAGAAGCAAGGGATTGAGATGGGAGCCAAGGCACGAAGTTCTACCTGTAGATTACAAGTTATGCCCCTCTGCACCACTCGATTGCCACATTGTTTATTGCAGCCACATCTCCACCAACATTCCGTGATGAACTTCCTTACCAAATGACCTTTGCAAGATTCAATGGTATCCTCAGTTTTTGATCTTTCCACTGGGCATTCCTTGCAGAAAACCTGGCAGTGCTTTTCAGGATCATGGTTCATAGAAATACATTCTTCAAGAAATTCCTCCTTGACAAGGCCATCTGCTGTGTAAGCAAACTCGCCTCTGGTTTCATGTGCACATGCACAAGGTGTGGAATTAGATAGACAATCACCAAAGCAAGCCGAACAACAATTACTATCACCTATACAAGCAAGAGAGAAGTTCACAGATGCATTTTGGAAAACTGCACTCTGGGGTATGTAGTAGAAAAGTGGTGGAAACTCATTATTGACTTCATTCACCAGTGTAATTACCACTCTTTCATGTCCCTTTGCTATGTCAATAACATCATGGAGCGGCCTTATCAATTCAGGGGCCAATTGATGCTGCTGAAGGGCCACCAAACTCTGGGAGTTTGTATCTTCAAAACCATCCTCAGTGTCATCTTTACGTTTCTCACCGTCATCTCCACTATCCATATTGTTAGACTGTGTACCATCATCCTCGCCATGGCAAGGTGGAGGCAGTAGTGGCGTTCGAGGAAGAGCTACCTCCTCATCAAACTGAGGACTAACTGAACTGTTCAAAGAACTAAAGCCCAAGCCTGTAGCACCTAGAGCATCAGCTGCATAAGATTTTTTAACTAGATCAATTGTTGATGTCACATCTATGCTTTCTGAAATTTCATTAGTGGACTCGGATCCTAAATTCAGAAAGCTATCACACATATCTTTCATAAGATTCATCACTGAAAAATTTGGATCCAAAATTTTGTATGATCTGAGACATTTTTCCTCCACGGACTTAAGAACTGCATCAAGACTAGGCATGTGGAAGCCAGGCCTTCCAAGAGCCAGGTCACAGCTCAAAGAGATTCTCACCTCTCCAAAATGCGAGGAAGCTATCTCTAGGTTAGAAGAACAGTCACCTGAGATTATAGCCAGATCACCATTGTTTCTAGTTTTTTCTGAAGCAGCAGTTCCATCAGCTGTAACTTTTTCAAGCATGGAGTGTAATTCTAAGGATTCAAGACCATCATTTTCTCCGACTGCAACATTTCTACTTGATGATTCTCCCTTGTTTGATGGATCTGCAAATTGTAAACCAGGATGCTCAGAATGACAAATATCAGAATCCAAAATTCAGCAACAGTTTCTTACAAAATACAAGAGATAAAAGGAAGAGGTAATCTGTAAACCCAATTTGAATCGTCGGACCTGTCACAATCACGCGTGTTAAAGAGGACTATGCACCAATAATATAAGCAGCAGTTCAAATGGGTCACCCAAGGTTAACCAAGGGCAGAAAACAGGAGCTACTTAGCTAATATATCCAGTTGTGTCCAGAACTGACATGTCCACAACACCAAAGTAACAACCAACTAAAAATCCAGGCAAGAGCTCCAGCATGTGGAAGCCCGAGCGACATGAAAACTGTCAACGTCATTTACCTCCAAGGTAATCTGTAACCCAAAAAAATCGCCAACTTTAAGGACCAAGCTCGTGACATAAGATCAGTAATAACAAGCCAAAGAGCTTGTTGACCATGTGACACCTTACCAGCTCTCTCACATGACTTTAGTCATCCCTGTATAATCCTCTCCCCCTGCCCCCCAGCTTTTCCATTCCATACATAAGATATTCATTAGACTTATTCGAACCCAGTCATAATTTCCTCAGAGCAACAATAACTGACTAGCCGTATTAGGGGAATCGGCCACCAAACGTCAAGTGGCTAAACTCATTATCTGATGTTTCTTTTCAGATTTTACAGCTTTTTCAGTTCACGAACACTATGAGGGATGCCGACTGTAATCCAACGTAGATATTTTTCACTGCATTTGACACATTAAATAATATAGACAAATCCATATAGACAAATCCATATTTACTAATAACTACATGCATGTATTGAACTTTGATACAACTCATAACTAACACCAACCCAATTGCTTCCCTATTACTTAGAACTACAAGCAACAGCTTTTTCAGTTCACGAACACTATGAGGGATGCCGACTGTAATCCAACGTAGATATTTTTCACTGCATTTGACACATTAAATAATATAGACAAATCCATATTTACTAATAACTACATGCATGTATTGAACTTTGATACAACTCATAACTAACACCAACCCAATTGCTTCCCTATTACTTAGAACTACAAGCAATGTACTGAGCTTCCAAACCATTTCCACACACTTCTGAGTTCTGAAAGCCAAAACAAAAGCAATCGAAGTGTAGCGTAAGAGAGACATTTCCATTTAAACAGTTACAATCAAAGAACAGAAATCTAAGAAGCTGAGCTCAACAGAGTTAATAAGAACTCAAAGCTTCAGATAGCAGTGAGTGAACATGAAAATAATAATCAGCCGTAAGAGGATACTGCACCTGGATGGATGACTGCAGCAGAAATGTTTAACTGTGGCATTTCATCTGTGATTGGCTCATCTTTAGGCTTAATTAAAGCCTGACTTGCAGTGGTCTTCTCTTTCGGTGTCACAACAATGTCAGGCATGACGTTTGGCTCCTTAATTCTTACAGCATCAGACAACCTCTCGGAAACTGACCTCTTCCCCCCAGATGGAGTTTGAGGTGAAACCGTTCCCTTTCCTTTGTCTCTCGGACGCATTGTATGAGAAGCAGGACTAGGTTCAGTTCTCAATGGGGTCTTTTGCTTACTTTTATCAACACCACTGGGCTGAGAGGGATCGCATCTTTCTTGGACCATCAAAGCCTTAGGAGAAACAGGTTGTTTTCCTTTATTTTTAGCAAGTGACTGGGATGCGACAACCTGCAATGTGTTACCAGCATTGGCCTGAGGTGAGTCCACCGTGCTGGGAGACTTATTCTGGTTCAGCAGATGGGTTTCAGGTAGTTCATCCTTTTCTTCTTTAGGTACAATAAGTGCAGTAACTGGCAAGCTAGCATTAGAGGTAGTGTGGGAGGAAGGTTGACCTTCCTGGTGTCTTAGTCGCAACCTTTTTAAGGGTCGCACAGTCTCTTCGTTCGCCAGTGCTTCTTCCTCCAAATAGTCCTCTTGCTATTTAAAATAAGTGATACAAGATTGACAAAATATAAGAGAAATACAAAAAGAGTAACAACAAAAATATACATAGCATGTAGAAAATAATCCAGAAAGCAGAGTCATTACAGAAATGGTCATATACTTCATTATTCACAATCTTCTTTGAACGCTGCTACCTAAAAGAGATAATAAGATAAATAAACAAAACTTGGCCCTGTTTGAGCCATATTCTTTCAAAAAAATATACATTCTTAAACAGTAATTTGACATCGTTTCAACCACACATTTTTCAATAAAATAAGATTACATGCAAATCCAAAACTTCTTTTTTATTTTTTAACCACACATTTCCCATCAATACACTATTTCAAAATGCATTCTTATCAAAATAATGTGGCTCAAACAAGGGCTTAGTACCACAATACTGAAAATTCAATTTTTACAAAAGACAAGTAAAATAACAGAAAAAACTTATACGTAATAACTCAACAAGTGCTTATTCATCCAAAAAGTCATCATTATTTATAAGAAATGGTACAAGATAAAACGAAAAGATTAACAATAAAAATATACTAGCATTAAGAAACGAATCAAGAAAGTACAGTCAGTACAGAAAAGGTCACGTACTTCATTATTTACAATCTTCTTTGAAGGCCCTGCAGCCTAAAAGATGAGATAAATCAACAAAGTTAGCACTAGAATATTAAAAATTCAATTTTTTTATGAAAGATTAGGCAATAACAGAAAAAGTAATAAATGATAACAAATCAACCGTGCTTCTTCCTCGAAATAGTCCTGTTGCTATTGAAAAGAAGTATAATATTGACAAAATATAAGAGAAAGAAAAGATTAACAATAAAAATATACTAGCAGTAAGAAACGAATCAAGAAAGTACAGTCAATTTAGAAAAAAATACTTACTTCATTATTCGAAATCTTCTTTGAAGGCCCTGCTGCCTAAAAGATGAGATAAATCAACAACTTTAGCACTAGAATGCTGAAAATTCATTTTTTCAATGAAAGATTAAGAAAATAACAGAAAAAGGTGATAATGACAACTAAAAACAGGGAGACAGAATTAGATAAAGGACAAATATCTAATGGGCGAGGGGGACTGCGCCATCAACAGATACCTCAGCTTCCTCTCTCTCAAATATAGCATCGGCAAGGGCTCTATAACTTTCCTCTTCAATAAGCTCCCAGTTTTTATCATACAATTTTAGCAGATCTTTCAGTACCGGCTTCACCTTGTCCTCAGAAATCCCCATAACCTTCATAGCACGAAAGGCTTTTGCGACTCTTGGATTTGGCGGCATGTTTGATTAAACAGATTTTACGTCACAGCTTCAGAATTTAGAACAAATCAAAATGCACGTGCTGAAAAGGAATATAAAATATAATTCATATTACAAAGCCAGGTAAGCATGTACTCAGATATCAAATAATAAAAACTGCTTCAAGCAGATAGCAGAAACTTAGGATGCCCAGTTGTCATCACCACATCAAGTACCAGCTCATTCAATTCACAACATTGGCAAACAGATTGCCAAGAATAGAGTAGATCCTGAATTTTGGTCCCACTTTAAGAAGGGGTTGCGATACCAGCCAACCGATTGGCTGTCAATGGAGCACCAACCTTTAACTGGAAACAAAATGCAGTAAAATATGAAGCTGAGAAGTTCACAAGCAACAGAAAGTCTGTGTTCACAGCCTTAAAGGCATATTGTGCTAACTATGCACAACACTGATAGACTTAACTATATCAAGGCCAGATAATAAACATACATCTCTCAGGACTCAAAGAATATCACATACGCTTTGTTGTTTGGAGAATTGATAGCTGAAACCAGAAAAGAATATCACACAGGCATTGCTACATAATAAATAAGAAATTAACCATGGAACAAAAAAAGCGTAATTGATCACAAAACCAAAGGAAGAACTCAAGTTGGGGAAGGTAATAGTGATTATATTAATTATCAAACAACTTTCAACCTCTGAAAAAGAGATCAGAACATAAAAAAACAGTCACATTACGCAATAAAACATATAAAATCAATCTAAATCTTAGATTCCAACATGAAATACACAATAAGCTTAAATAGACATAAAATAGCAAAACCGACAAATGTAAAAAAAGATCAATCAAAACAAAAATCGTATACAGATATACACAACAGTTATGTTCAAATACAGGACTTATCACCAGTTGTTGTATTTTTTTTATTTTTTTTTGGGGTCAATTGTGATTACATACTCTACATTTTGGCAAGAAAAATATTTCCATTTTCCCTATAGCACTAAAATCCAAGGAAACCAAAACTATATAGATAAGAGACTGAGACAACAAATATCCTTGCTTTTTCTAAAAGAAATTATGGTTTGATATAAATGGAGAGCATGAAGAAAGCCTGAATCCCATTAGCACTTTCCAAATTTATTGTGACAGGTCTTCCTTTTTGTGAAACCATCCAATGCATCCATAACATTTAAGCAAAGAAACATATTGCACAGAGGTGGCATGTTCTTGTAACCTATCATTTTATAACTGAGCACATCAGCACAATTTTACCATTTTGAAACATGGTTTAAAAAACCCATTTGAAAAATGCCTTAGAGTGAAGCATGCAAAAATGCCTCAAGGCACTGATTTTTAGGCATTTTTTTGAAGCGTACAAACCAATTGTATGAGGCACCTGTCTCACAGCACCGCATCAAGGTTTGTGGCCCACAAAATATCAAAATTCTAGTGGACAAATTTGAATAACCCACTGCCGCGCATTAAAAAAAATATTTATCATAATCACATTTAGAGAATAGTCCACCATCCCCACCAACTAAAATGATAGCTTCTTTACAGATTCTTCTTTTGTTTTTATGCAACTTCAGATTTTTCTGTTATGAATTTTGAAGATTGTTTATGATGTGTTAAGACTTAAGAGCTTAATTTGCATTTTAATAAATTTTTATATTTTTCAATACTTTGAGGCTTATGTTTCGTCAGTGAACAGAAAACACCTTAGCACCCTATTACGTCTTTTTAAGCATTGCTTGTAAAGAAACATTTAACACAACAATAATCTGATGGAATTACTTGATGTGGCTAAAAAGGAAAATATTATTGTTTCCACCAGATTTGCATTATAGAAATGAGCACTATTATAGAGCTATTTAACGTGGGCGATAATTAAGCATTAACTAAAGAATTGAAACAAAAAACAATGAGTGGATTATAAAGAATTGATTTGTGAAACGATGTCGAAACTTGTATTTTATGCCCACTGTTTGTCTTATTCAAATGATTACAGGACAAAAAACAATTATAGCTTGGGCTATGAAAGGAAAAGCTGATAGTTATGACTTCGGATTTAAGTGAACTATCAAAATTTGGAGTTTGCTATAGCCAAGTCTACATCAACCCCAACCTAAGCACTGCTTGCTTCCAGTTCATTTGATTCACGTGTATTTTGAATCCCCAATATCAAAGACAATTGAAGTAATTGATCACAAAACCAAAGGAAGAACTCAAGTTGGGGAAGGTAATAGTGATTATATTAATTATCAAACAACTTTCAACCTCTGAAAAAGAGATCAGAACATAAAAAAACAGTCACATTACGCAATAAAACATATAAAATCAATCTAAATCTTAGATTCCAACATGAAATACACAATAAGCTTAAATAGACATAAAATAGCAAAACCGACAAATGTAAAAAAAGATCAATCAAAACAAAAATCGTATACAGATATACACAACAGTTATGTTCAAATACAGGACTTATCACCAGTTGTTGTATTTTTTTTATTTTTTTTTGGGGTCAATTGTGATTACATACTCTACATTTTGGCAAGAAAAATATTTCCATTTTCCCTATAGCACTAAAATCCAAGGAAACCAAAACTATATAGATAAGAGACTGAGACAACAAATATCCTTGCTTTTTCTAAAAGAAATTATGGTTTGATATAAATGGAGAGCATGAAGAAAGCCTGAATCCCATTAGCACTTTCCAAATTTATTGTGACAGGTCTTCCTTTTTGTGAAACCATCCAATGCATCCATAACATTTAAGCAAAGAAACATATTGCACAGAGGTGGCATGTTCTTGTAACCTATCATTTTATAACTGAGCACATCAGCACAATTTTACCATTTTGAAACATGGTTTAAAAAACCCATTTGAAAAATGCCTTAGAGTGAAGCATGCAAAAATGCCTCAAGGCACTGATTTTTAGGCATTTTTTTGAAGCGTACAAACCAATTGTATGAGGCACCTGTCTCACAGCACCGCATCAAGGTTTGTGGCCCACAAAATATCAAAATTCTAGTGGACAAATTTGAATAACCCACTGCCGCGCATTAAAAAAAATATTTATCATAATCACATTTAGAGAATAGTCCACCATCCCCACCAACTAAAATGATAGCTTCTTTACAGATTCTTCTTTTGTTTTTATGCAACTTCAGATTTTTCTATTATGAATTTTGAAGATTGTTTATGATGTGTTAAGACTTAAGAGCTTAATTTGCATTTTAATAAATTTTTATATTTTTCAATACTTTGAGGCTTATGTTTCGTCAGTGAACAGAAAACACCTTAGCACCCTATTACGTCTTTTTAAGCATTGCTTGTAAAGAAACATTTAACACAACAATAATCTGATGGAATTACTTGATGTGGCTAAAAAGGAAAATATTATTGTCTCCACCAGATTTGCATTATAGAAATGAGCACTATTATAGAGCTATTTAACGTGGGCGATAATTAAGCATTAACTAAAGAATTGAAACAAAAAACAATGAGTGGATTATAAAGAATTGATTTGTGAAACGATGTCGAAACTTGTATTTTATGCCCACTGTTTGTCTTATTCAAATGATTACAGGACAAAAAACAATTATAGCTTGGGCTATGAAAGGAAAAGCTGATAGTTATGACTTCGGATTTAAGTGAACTATCAAAATTTGGAGTTTGCTATAGCCAAGTCTACATCAACCCCAACCTAAGCACTGCTTGCTTCCAGTTCATTTGATTCACGTGTATTTTGAATCCCCAATATCAAAGACAATTGAAAATGCTCAAATTTTTCACTTGCCCTGAGCTCCTATGTTCCTCATATAGAGTTTGAAGACAAATTTGAAGAAAATCCCAATCATCAGCATTGAAAGATAATGATCACGTTACCATTTGCAGCATCTTTTCAAACCAAGCTTATTAGAACAACTTCTTTGCTCGGCCTATCTAAATCTCAGGCTAAAGTAAAAAACCCAACCAACATTTTCCACAGTGGAGTTAAAGCTCCCAAACTGCATTTCCTAATTCCACACACCTCAATCTTAGGCCGCATAACCAAATTATTCTCCAAATTTAGAGAGTCAAACTTACCCTCTATTCTTAACGTACAATAATCGCATTTAATAACTTACATATTTCAATACTCTACTTTTTAAACTATTCAAACTACATCTAAAGTAATTGACCATTATCATATAAAATATTATGTTAAATAAATTATGAGAAGAAATCAATGAATGTTTGTTGAGAAAAACAAAATAAAAAGTCAAAATAGAGAACATTGTGCACAAAAAATTTCTCTCTAAATTTAAAGATGGTCTCTATAACACATAAAATGCTCTCTATAAATAAAGAATCTCTTGGATATACTCTATAGGCCCATCTGATATGACTTTTAAGTCATAAAAGTCAAAGAAACTTTTAAGACCTAAAAGTTACTTTTAGACTCGTTTAACTAATTTTATAAAAGTGATTCTTTTCTTTAGAAAAGCTTTTAAAGAAAGTTAATCAAATGTGTCTTCATCTAAAAACCCTTCCCAACTAGGAACCACTTTTAAAAATTAATTTCCAAATAAAAAATAAAGTAACTTCCTCCAAATAAGCAAAAGCAAAAAACACAAGTCGCTTCAAATGGCCTTTCAAGTGGCAAAAATGTTCCCATTTCAATTTAGGGAAAAGTTCTCATTTTTTTTTATTTTTTTTTTTTGAATCAAACAGAGGGAAAATTTTCCTTCTTCGAGGAAAGCGGATTAGAAGTGAAATTAAGGCAATGTTCTATGCGATAAATTCTAGAAGCCCTAAAAATTGAAGGGAAGAGAGAGGCAATGTACGCGTTCGTGAGAATTCATGTATGATGAATGAAATTCCGATCTTCGTTACCACTCGTAGAAGCTAAAAAATTACATTTATTGAAAGAATAAAAATTCCTAAAGCGGTCCAGCGGCGTAAATTGAAAACAAACGACGGAATGTGAATCTGTAACATGAAAAATTTCAAAAAAAAAAAAAAAAAATTCTTACCAGCATTACCTGGTAGCTTCAGGAAGTGTGCGCCACTGCGCGAGAGAGAGAATACACAAAACCCTACGCAGAAAGTGGCGATGTTTTCACAGAGAGAGGAGTGACAGAATTCTAGTGAGTCAAGGCTTTTTCAGTACTTTGAAAGCTGTAAATTGGTGATAAACAGGTGTTTCCCACGCGCGGTATGGAGCGTGGGAATCGAGCTAGAATCTGCTCTTTTTTTACTGTACAGGTAAAGAGCTTTGACCGATCAAATTGTTATTGAATTAAGCGCCATATAAGATTTGTTTACTTGGTTGACATTATTCTGTCAATGGATCGAGTCGAGCCGAGTCGAGCGTAATAAAAGTTTTGTCTACTTAGTTGACATTCATTCTGTCAATGGGCAGAGCACGACCTCGGCTCAAGCTCGCCACGAGCCGAGCTCGTGCTCGTTTTGAAATGAGCTGAGCCCAACTCGTAAGCAGATGTTGTTTTTTTCATTTTTTTGAAACAAATAGGTAAATTGAAAAATAAAAAAAATAATTTTGATTTTTAAATCATGAATTATATACAAAAAATTATGTAAAAAATTTAAACACTCCTCCTTTATTCAGGTTTGGGACCGACTACTTAAATTTAGAATAGGCGGAGTTAAAAATTGCGTTGTTTGTTTGTTTGTTCGTGTACAATTTTTTAAAGAAATTTTAAAACAGTATTAAAAATTATTTTTTCAAACAACGTTGCGTGTCCCCTTCCATATGATTTTCGAAGAAAATCCCTTCTAAAAATTGAAAAGGTAATCGAATGCCCTTTCAATTGTCAAAAGTCTTCACTTCGAAAATTATATAGAAGTCTTTCATTTCGAAAATTATATAAATTTTCGAAGTGAAAGACTTCTGACAATTGAAAGGACAATCATTCGATTACCTTTCAATTTTCAGAAGAAATTCACTTCAAAAATTATATGTAAAGGTACGCACATCGTTGTTCGAGAAAGGAATTTAAAATGTAGATATATAGTAGTAATAGTACCAAGTACTAACAAAAATTTAACTAAATTAGTGGAAATGGATTTTTTTTATTTTAACTAAAAGAGATAGAAAAAAAATTTTAAAAATTTTATTTTTATTTTTAAAATAGATAAAATATAAACCCTTCTCTTTTATCCGAGTTTGGGACCGACTACTTAAATTTTCAATAGGAGGAGTTAAAAATTGTACACGAACAATTTTTTGTAGCATGTACAATTTTTTAAAAAAATTAAAAGTAACAATAAGAAAAGAAAAGTTTCATCAATATAATTAAATCAAATATCACTTACTTGACGACGTGCAATTTCAGCATATTTATTTTGTAGTCGAAAACAAGCGTCCTGCCAATCTTTAACGCACATTAACGCTTCTAAAATATCTTCTTTCAATCGGCTCCTGACATCACTCAAAACTCTTTTACCTGCATTAAAAGCAGACTCCGAAGCAACAGTGTTAACCGAAGGTGTCATCAAATCATTCGCAATCGCAGAACGTCATTCATACCTTCACCAGAATTCAATTACTTCGTCTGAACTTTTTTTAATTGTTTTATCTGTTAGCATATTCTGGTTGAAATAATCAATTAATTCAGCAGGCAATACATTACGGCTTAAGCCCGTAGATGTTTGATGAGAATGAGATACAGATGGTGACAACATGGCAGTGGCAGTGGTAGTAAATGAACACATTGCAGATGAATCAAATTTATACGAATTAATGCCTTGAAATATATTAAATATTTTTGTATCTTCTTCTTCAATTTCAACGGAAGGAGTAGGTGCAGATGGTACTCGACTAATATTGGTACCCATTCGGTTCGCATATAATTCATACATTTCACATAATGTTTGCTCTAAATTTCTAAATGTGATAGGTGTATCAAATGTTAAGGCGTTTGAAATTTGATCAATTATATATTTAGTTCTCGATAAATTATATCGGGGGTCCATCACGCATGCTAAAGGAAATAACATAGGCAAATATTCCCAATATTTTCTAAATTTTAATTCCATAGCAATTATAATTCCACTGAAATCAGGGTCATTTCTGTATTTATGAAATGTTCTTACAATTATATAAAGACGTTCAAGCACCATACAGCTGGTGGGATAGCAAACGCCCGATAAAATTTTAGTGGTTTCATAAAAAGATGTCAAAAATCTTTTAACTTTCAAAACTAAATGTCAATCACGTTCAGTCAACATACCCTCGTCATCACTTCTAACATGTCTATTACTATAAAAGTCAGTTATTAAATGTTCAAAACCTTCACATGACTTTAATAACAAGTAGAGTTCCGCCTATGACCTATGTTACTAACAAATGTTTTAGCATTTTGCACTCCTAGTTCGGCACAATAATCTTCAAATGCTTGTTTTCTACTTGGGAAGATTGTGATATATATTAGTGCGTTCCTAATATTTAGAAATTCATCTTTTATATATTTTAAACCATTTTGAACAGTTAAATTCAAAATATGACATACACGACGAATATGAAACAAATACCCACCAAAATCAAGTTGTAGTACTCTGTGCAATTTTTCGACAACTACTTTATTAACACTAGCATTATCGAAAGTAAATGAACGAATTTTACCTTCGCAATGATATTATCTAACAATACTAATAATAATATTAAATAAATTATTAGCGTTGTGAGGAAACTCAATAATTTTAAAAGTAATAATTTTTTTATGCATGCACCAAAGTGGGTCTATATAATTTGCAGTTGCAGCTGCAGCTATATATGCTCTTTTATTAATCCCTTCCCATATATCCGAAATTAAAAACATGGCACCCCCATATTTTTTCAAATCCATAATTAATTGTTGTTTTGTTGAAATAAAATATTGTATTGTATCGGAACGAAGAGTGTTTTGACTTACCCCAACGTACCTTGGCTGCAAATATTCTTTCACATACGAGACGTAGTGTTGGTTGTCAATTAACGTCAAATGCAACTCAGCACCAGCAACAAGTTTCACCATTCCGGTTCAAGCTTTCTCCTCCGAATACACCCATGTGGATAGGGGTGCAGCAGAACCACAGACGTCTGGACTATCAAATTGCAATTGTGTTTGATAGCCTGGAATAAGTCCGTGTTTGGCTGCACATACTTTGTAATGACGGTTGAGATGGGTGGTACCAATTCCTCTTTACCATGCCAATCTTTGTTGGCAGTATTTACATACTGCTTTGGATTCTTGGACTCCATTGACGATTTTTCCCGTTGAAATCAACTTAAAGTGATCCTAACATTTTGCTTTTTTTGAACCTTTCGCTTTTCCCTCGCATCAGAAATATTTAATTCAACATCTTCTTCCTGATCGTGTTCCGCTTCGGGAACGTCAATATCATCCAAATTAATTGGATAATTTGGATTATCGCTTACACGATGATGAAAATCCAAATTTGGAATATTTTCAGGTAGGGGTACGTCATTTAGCTCCTGTTTGATCCCCATTAAATTAAATTACATTACATTCCATTTTTCTTTCTCCTTTTTTCAACCACACAATCTTTCATAAAATAATATTACACGTAAATCGAAAACTTTTCCTTATTTTTCAACCACTTATTTTTCAAAAAAAATACTATTCCTCTCATTTCATTTTCAGGTAATGGGGATCAAATAGGGGCTTAGACCTTCAAATTGATTCTAAAATTGACTTTGCGGTGTCATAGGTGATTCGTTTCCTCCCACACCGAACAAGTTCTCGAAAAATGTACGTGAATCCAATTGTTTAATTGTAATAAGTAATAACTAGTAAAAGAATAATTGTATGAATGTAGTAAGAAATGAAAATTGGATGAAATTTCAATAAATATAATGAGAACTGAGAAATGAGAATTAGATATTGTATAAATTGTATATAAAAATTGCACAACTATCAACACAACACAGAGAGTTGAGAGTGAATTGTATAAATTTTTGTGGCTAAATGCCACTATTTATAGAAGAAGAAAAGAAAAAAAATAAAAAAATAAATTTAAGGACCAAAACGGTTACTGAAAAAATTCAGTGACCGTTAGCGGTAAAAAAAAAAATTAATTAATTCAGGGACTGAAACGATCACTGACAAAAGTCAGCGATCGTTACATAAAGTGACTGTTTCGGTCACTTTAAAAAACGAGCTGGGCTCGTGGTAATGGTTGTTGCGGTGGTGATGACGGTGACGGGTGGTATGTCCGTGACCAACAATAGTTGAGCACCACCGCCTCTAGAACGACTATCACTTCACCAACATGTGCATCACCGCCTCCTGTAACCACCATCATGAGCATCATGGTACCATAACACCATCGCATAACATACCACCCACAGCACACCACCGCCACCATTTCCTTTATCTCCATTTACAGCACACTTAACCACCACCCCCACCAAAGAACCCACAAACCCGGAACCACCACCTTGAAAACGTAATATAACATGCCAAAAAATCACACCATCATCGCCAAATTCAACAACCACCATAGCCACCACCACAAAACCTCCACCACACAAACACCATCACCGCCGCCACACAAAGAGCCACCCAAACGCTAGCCGCCACCAAAAACACGCCACCACTATCACCACACAAGACACCGTTCAAATTTTCAAATTTGGCTCTTCATTGCAACCGCCACCACAATTCGCTTATTCATTACAGCAACTCGATGAAGTAGGTGAAATTACATCGCCTCTTCATTTCAACATCGCAACTTGTCATAGTGGGTAGATCTGCATCACAATGGATCTAATTCGCCTCTTCATTAGAGCAGCATCGTGGTGCAGCAGCAGTTGCTACTTAATAGGTAGCGACGGGTGCTTTGACGAAGAGAGAGACATGAGAGGAAGAGGAAGATACGGATAGGGAGATGAAGAGAAGATGGGGAGTTAGAGTGAGAATAGATTATTACAGTTTAAAAATGGCCTGAATTCTATTGGTTTCATGTCAGCACTCGGAGTTAGAGGTGTCTCCGACGTCGGTCGCTCTTTGACGATGACGACGGTCGAAGGATAGGGTAGAGAGAGAGAGAGAGACACGATATGATAAGGGAAGAAAATGGGGGAAATGATTAGGGTTCTAATTGAATAGATTAGTCATATATAATACTTAATTTCTGCATAAATAAACTTTATCCTTGAATTTTGAATTTGAAAGTTTAAGTAACTGATTTTATGTAATTTCCACTTATCAAACCTTTTTGGCATTTTCTTTTAATTGTTTTCCCACCTTCCGACGGTGTTATGCCAAGTGTTGTTTGTCAAAAATTTCTATCAAAAAAATTGTACATATAGCTTGATTGTTTCGTTTAATATGTACAAGCAATTGTAGATATCGCAATTCCCCTGGATCCATAATAAATAAATTTAGAAAAATGCTAATGGTACATAATTTCCTTTATATAAGGGTATCCACCATCTCACATGAGAGTGGACCCCACATTAATAAAATATTCGAGTGAATCCCCACATGAGAAGGATGACATCTTTATGTACATATAATTATGTACGAATAGCATCTCTCGTACAAAGTCCATTATGTGGGCTCTGCTTATAAGCCATGTAAAATCCAATTAAAAGCCAATCATCTTGGTGTAATTCCCAAGTCCACATCCAATTATACAGGCGAGGCCTGTTATAGGCCATGTAAAGCCCATATCCAATCATGTAGCCCAATTCTGTTTAAAGTCTTTCAGATAGAGCAGGACAAGGGAAAGGGTTTCCCAAACTTTGTGTTGCAGTGATTTCTACTCAACTTCTTCATCACCAAAATTGGAAGGTAGTGTTTATTTGTGTAAAAACTGGCTTTATATGTTGACTTCGAACTCGACTGATTGTTGTCGATGATTTAATTTCGTAAATAAATTTAGAAAAATGCTAATGGTACATAATTTCCTTTATATAAGGGCATCCACCATCTCACATGAGGGTGGACCCCACATTAATAAAATATTCGAGTGGATCCCCACATGAGAAGGATGACATCTTTATGTACATATAATTATGTACGAATAGCATCTCTCGTACAAAGTCCATTATGTGGGCTCTGCTTATAAGCCATGTAAAATCCAATTAAAAGCCAATCATCTTGGTGTAATTCCAAAGTCCACATCCAATTATACAGGCGAGGCCTGTTATAGGCCATGTAAAGCCCATATCCAATCATGTAGCCCAATTCTGTTTAAAGTCTTTCAGATAGAGCAGGACAAGGGAAAGGGTTTCCCAAACTTTGTGTTGCAGTGATTTCTACTCAACTTCTTCATCACCTTGGAAGGTAGTGTTTATTTGTGTAAAAACTGGCTTTATATGTTGACTTCGAACTCGACTGATTGTTGTCGATGATTTAATTTCAATACTACCTCGATCTAAGATTCTCACTTCTAGCTCCTTAAGAGTTTTTTTATCCCCCTAAACTGTTGTTTCTTGATGGTAATTTCCATGCGTAACAGCGATTTTCTCGAGAATTATCTTTATTTATTTTTGATATGGTGTTTTATGGTTTACCCCTTGCCTCGGTTCTTCCTTTTTTTATCGTTCAGTTGTCGTGCACATTTTACTGTGATAAATTGTCTGTTGAAGAAAAGGCTAGATTTAATGTGTTAATAATGCTCTGTTGCAATTTTATGGGTTTTGGAGTGCCCTAGATTGTAAATTTTCAGGACTTCAGGATAGAAATCTCTTTCTGAACAAAATTACTCTTAATGATGAATGATGTGACAGCACTTGAACTTTACTATTCTTATTGATTTCATTTTTGAACTTTCTGTTGTAGAAATTATACTGGAGAATTTATCCTGGTATTCTGTATGGCTTAAAAATCATGTATTCATGTGTTTGCATGTGTTCCGAGTTCGCATCTATTTCCATTAGTAATCATTCTGATTGCTTCTCGTCTTCCAGCTTGTTCTAGAAGCACACAGCATTTTTTCCTGTCATCATGGGAGATAGAGAGACTTCAGTGGCACAAATATCTGTTGCTACTGATCATAGTATAAAGGCTGCTGGAGATTATAATGATACTAGCATAAAGGCTGCTTCTGACACTGATGCTTCTGCTTCTGCTTCTGAAACCAATGGAGATTTGGCAGCTCCTTCCACGGCGTCTGCAGCAGGAGACTTAGTTTCTTCAGCCGGTTCTGTCAATGAAACTGATTCAGCAGCTTATACTTCTAATATATATGCTGGTGGTGCAGCAGTTGTGAACTATGCCCAGCAAGAAATTCCCCCCGTCATGGCATATGATACTAATGCATCCGTGGATCCATCTCACTTTGGTGCTTATGAGTCCTCTGTAAATGGCAATACTGTCAGTGAAACAGGAAGTGTCGCAACATCTTTAATCTCTGAAAATCGGATTTCTCATGCTGGGCTTATTGAATCTGCTGCTTTCCATCAACCAGTTGATGATTCTGGTACTATTCATATCATTTTAAGATATTCATCTCATGAACTTTATGCACAAACTTCCTAGGCGTAATTATAAAAGTCAACTTCGAAATGTAACTAACAATTTTTTCCATTACCCAACCGTTGAAGAAACATCCATGATATTACGGGGTTAAATTTTTATTAGGGCGTGGGAATAATTTGTAATAGTATTAGTCTATATTTGCTCCACGTGTTGCATTTTTATGTATTTACTTTCCTGACGTGTTTACTTACAGTGTTATTTACTTCTTACATACATTTGGTAAAAACTTGCAAGTGCATGGATACACACAATTACAAACATAAGAAATTTCACACGTCATTGTTGGTAATTGTCACTTTCCTATATTGGAAATTGAAGAAATTAGAGAGAGATATTCCAAATAAAGTACATGAAGCTCAAGTGTTCAAGGATCTGGAGAAGAAAATAAAATTATATGATCTTGTACTAAATCAGATTTTGTTCTTGAAACTTTTGTCTTCTGCTCTATAATTCTATTCATGTTCATGAAGGATCTTCAATACATGTTTCATCCTTTTTAGTTCAACTTTTTTCATGGAGTCAAATTTCGGTATGGCATTCTAATTTGATTTGTTCGAACCATTTATTGAAGCACTAACTGCAGAAGAACAAAGATTGTGGAGCATAGTGACGGCTAATTCGTTGGATTTTAATGCATGGACTTCCCTGGTTGAAGAAACAGAGAGAGTATCTGAGGTATGCTGGATAGAATGAAAATTGGCTTGTCAAATGAGCTCATTTTCCGGGTCCTCTTTCTCAAATGTCATGTTTACAGCCTGACGCCTCGGCATTTTTGCAGTTGTGGGTTAAAAACTTTAGCTGTAGAACTTGCCCTTGAGTTCATGCTAATTGTTATAACTATTCTGTCAGTTAGCCTTCAATTGCCCTTGGTCTGCCTGAATTTATCAGTTGCTTTTGTTTGGAAACTGAGTTACTTTTCTCCAATCTGTAGGCAAGCATTTTGAAGATTCGAAAAGTTTATGATGCATTTTTATCTGAATTTCCACTATGTTATGGTTATTGGAAGAAATATGCTGATCATGAGGCACGCCTCAGCTCAGTCGACAAAGTTGCAGAGGTTTATGAAAGAGCTGTTCAAGGAGTTACTTACTCAGTTGACATGTGGTTGCACTATTGTGTATTTGCCATTAACACCTATGGGGATCCTGACATTATCAGAAGGTAATCCTCCTTGTTTGTTTTGCTATTTTTGGTATTTGTGTGTGTGGTTGTCCTCTATTTCTTTATTTTAATATTGTTGAAGTGATCTTTTATTACTTTCTAACACGATTTAAAAATTCAGCAACAGTGATTACTGATATATATGGCGCAAAGGTTTGTTCCAAATTCAATTCAGACATTTAGTTTTATGATGTGAAAACCTTTGTTGTGGTGCTACTATAATAGTTGCCATCTGGGTTTATGCACGGCCTCATCACCCTCTTCAGTTGTACTTCTGGTTGGGGTTATGTTGTTGTAATTCATGTAATTTATCATGGAGTTTTGCCGTTTTTAACCATGGCACCTGAGGTGCATCAATATACAATGGCTGCTGAGAAGATGTTACCAATAAGGCTAAGATGGCCTGTATGACTCCCTTTGATGGATTCTGTAAGATTATTTGCAGGAAGGTAAATGCTGTGCAATTTGTGTTTGGTTTTGTCAACTCCATCTTGAGATCCAGTCCTCTTGTATGCATTTGTATAGGACAAAACAACCTGCATGCATATTGGATTTCATAATTGTATTTTGCTCTGGCGGTTTTTCAGGCTATTTGAAAGAGGATTAGCTTATGTTGGAACTGATTATCAGTGCTTTCCTCTTTGGGATAAATACATTGAGTATGAAATTTCTCAGCAAGACTGGCCCCGTGTTGCTGCCATTTACACACAGTTATTGGAGATCCCGAACCAGCAGCTGGATCGCTATTTTGAAGGGTAATTCTGTCTTAATCTAAATCTGCATTGGCGATTGAGCTTCTGTCTGCCTTTTTAAATATCTTTTCCAACTGGCTTTGCGCTTTGCCTCATCTCGGTCATCTATATGGTTCCAAACACGTCATTCATTAATGTAAAATTGCAAGTTATCTTTTTCTCTGCCTCTGAACGTTGCCTCTACCATCTTGTTATGGTTTTATCTTTTTCAAGAACAGATTGTTTTAGTTGAATGGCTTATTGATTTGCTTCAGTGTACATCTGTTTTCGTATTAGATTCCTTTCAAATCTTATATTTTTCATTATGTCTCTCACTTCAGATAGATCATTTAAGTTTGTTGAATGTTTTTACAGATTTAAGGAGCTACTAGCCAGTCGGCCTTTATCAGAGTTGCAAACTCCTGAGGAAGCTGCCGCAGCAGCTGCTGCAAATTCAGACGGAGATGGTAATAAAACTGAAGGAGAAGATCGTGCAAATGTTGCGGATCAGACTCCTAAGCCTGTAAGTGCAAGCTTAAAAGATGCGGAGGAGTTGGAGAAGTATATTACCATTAGAGAAGAATTATATAAGAAAGCTAAAGAGTTCGATTCTAAGATCGTTGGCTTTGAAACAGCTATCAGAAGGCCTTATTTTCATGTGCGCCCCCTCAATGTTGCAGAGCTTGAAAATTGGCATAACTATCTCGATTTTATCGAAGGTTGTGACGACTTCAATAAGGTATTTTAGTTTGTTTATTCCAGACGCATTTGAGTTTATCTTGGTTTGTAGCTTTAGTTGTGCTTGTTATACATTGACTTACAGTTAAGTAGTATCTGGCGCATCATATGCTTTATTGGCTAAACCATTGGACGAAGCATCTTTTAAAAAGGGATATTGAACTTGGACTAAAGCAGGGACCTTGCTTTCTAAAAGGCTAAGTACTTCAAACTCTCATTTGGGTCGACGTTCTGGGTTCATGATATTTTGTATGGCAAAATGTTTGTTTTAAAGTTCCAATGTTATGCATTCAGGTCTGTCATTGTCTTCCTAACCATCTATCTGTCAGGCAAGGAGGTCCCTCTTGTATTTGAGGGCCTCCCTGTTCCGCCAATGGAGTATTCTTTGTGCATTTCTCCTTAGTAAATTTTCATGTTTTTTCTTTTCTTTTAATTTAGCTAACCTTGAATTGGATTTATGAATCTTTATATAATCTGCGTGAGCAGATTGTCAAGCTCTATGAGAGATGCCTAGTGGCTTGTGCCAATTATCCTGAATACTGGATACGGTATGTACTGTTCATGGAAGCTAGTGGAAGTATGGAGCTTGCTGACAATGCGCTTGCTCGTGCTACTCAAGTTTTCGTCAAGGTATAAAATTCTGTCTATTTGTTGGGTCAATTGCCTGGTTCTATCGTGACCTTCTCATGTTACATTTTCAGCTTAAAGTATTTTGATTCAAGTTTTCTGTTTTTGTGAATGTTTATTTGCCTCAATACTTTTTATATGTTATGCTGATGATCGATTCAAGACAAATAATCTTCTGCTTATGTTATGCTACTTTGCTTATGAAAATCTTATTGCACAATGCATTCATGTGCTCAGATCACACAGCACATTTATTTTCGACATACTTTTTCCCTTCATTTTCCCGAGATGAACCTAGGTATAAATGACGTTTACTTTTGAAACAATTCTCTCTTGTGAATGTACTCCTGGTAGAGGATGGGATGGTGAGGCTTCACTTGAATTGAAACTGAAATTGCTATTTTTAGCAGAAGAAAGGGTCTGTTGTGATTAGGTTGGCTGAATGATCTGAGTGCTTGATTCAGATTTAACTTGGAATGATCACGAGACTCGTTGCAGTAATATTATCCATTAAGAAATATTAGCTGTAGTTGCAGTAGCATGGACTCCATATGGATTGCAATGAGTCTTCTTTCACAAAAATTTTCTCTGACTTCTTTTATATGCTGTATTGCTTGAAATCTTGGACCACGAGAGCAAATAGAGTTAAGTTTCTGCACTTCCTTTAATTTGTTGCTGATTTATTTGCATCTTGCACCATCCCAATTCATTAAAGTCAGATAATAAAATTATAAATCATCTTGAAATGAATATAATCATCATTTGCATTGTAGTGGTGATACTTTACAAAGATGCATGCCTTTACTATTTCATCCAATGTTTTTAAAATCGGACCGGACTAGCCGGTTCAACCGGGAAAATCGTGAACCAGCCTAAAATCTGGTCCGGGCACACTATAATAACCGGAAGAGGAAAACCCAGTCAACAAACCATAGAACCGGGCGATTTACCCGTAAACTGGAAAACCGCTCACGGTTAGACCGGTTCCTATGCACTATGTTTATCAAAAATTTTAACTCCGTTAAGGAGCTCATGGATTATAGCTACAGGCCTATACTATACTTTCTTGAGTTGGTGGCAAGCACTCCCTTTTAAGTAATGTCTCTCTTCACATTTGCATTTAATTACCGATGTGGGACAAAGACTTCCAATTGCAAAACAAACAAATGGATTTATTTGAATAAAGACTACAACAAATTATTTCAAATTTTGAAGTTTTAAAATAAATTATATTATAATGCATCTAATTAACAAACATAGATTAAGCCCCTGTTTGTTTCCGATTCTTTTCCCATTAAAATAAAAAATATGACTGTTATCCATCGCATCAAGTCATTATATTTAAATTTCTATCTCTTGTGTGGGGTCCATAACGACAATATTTTCCATTCTCATTTTCACAAAAATGGGAAACAAACGGTCCCTAAATTTACTTTGAATTAGTAACGCTAAAATAAATATATTATTGTTATAATACTTGGGTTTATTTTTTTTTATTTAATTTTGGTATCTGTTATTGTTCCAAAACTTTAAAAAAAAAAAAATATTACATAATAAAAAATAGGTTATTTTTCAAAACTTATTGTTGTCAAAATAAATTAAAATGTTTAAAAATATATATTTATTACTTCCTGTTTGACCTCGATTCAACCCTGGTTGAACCTTTTGACCCATGGCCCTTTTTATTTTCTGGGTCGATGTCCAGTCCGGTTTTAAAAACATTGATTTCATCTTCGGCTTTAGATTTTGAACACCTTTAAGCTCATTTTTGGATCTGGTATTATTGGTCATTTTGTTATATGATAAAATCAGGATCCATTTGCTGAACCAATTTCTCTTGATATGTAGCTTTCTGTCCTTGGATTTTAATAATGATCTTTGTTGACAGAGACAACCTGAAATCCATCCTTTTGCCGCTCGATTCAGAGAACAGCACGGTGACATTTCTGGGGCTCGAGCTGCTTTTCAACTTGTTCACACTGAAATTTCGCCCGGGCTTTTGGAAGCCATCATCAGACATGCTAACATGGAACATCGACTTGTAAGGGTTGCATGAGAAAACTACGGAGTCATCCGACTAATTTCATATCACATATAATTAGGTGTTTTCTTGTATCTTGCAGGGGAATCTGGAAGATGCATGCTCTTTATATGAACAGTCCATTGCAATTGAGAAAGGGAAGGAACATTCACAGACTTTACCTTTGTTGTTTGCCCAGTATTCACGCTTCCTTTACTTGGTAGGTTTTATATTGCTACCGTTCTTCTTAGTTCATCCCAAGTGATGTGCTATAATCTTGATTATATTTTGTAACTTGTTATATTGGATTTAAAGTAGACTTGTTGGTCTCTTGACGAATGTATTTTAATATCATGATTCATAAAATCATATTTCTGATCAATTGAAAAGGAAAAAAAAATAAAAAATAGTATTTCTAGTCTTTGTGTGGAAGGAGTTGGTATTTAAATAATTGATTGCAATAGCTAATTTGCATGCTTTGAGCAGCTCAATAAGATAAGGAATGATTGTTCCCTGAATTTGAGATGCATGTATGCAATCAACTGTATGGGGTTGAAAATTGGTGTCCTATGGGAAACCTGCTCATTTGAATTTGTTCCTTACCTACCTCCTTTTCATAGATCACTTGTTATTTTCATACAAGAACATTTGTAAGCACTCAAATCTTCGTTAAAGAGATTTGTCTTTGGCATATAATCTAAATGAATGAATGTTTTCTTGTTGACTTTGTGCTTCTTGTTATATGTTTAAATTTTGCTGGAAGGTTCCTGGCAAGGTGGAAATGGCTAGGGAAATTCTTGATCAAGCAGTTGAGAATATCCAGTTGTCGAAACCAATTTTGGAGGTTCTCTCTCTTTCCTTTCATCCCCCCTCCTCAGCTAAAAATAGTTCAATAGAATAGCACCCCATATGAGCATTCGTGCTTACTTCAATTATAAAGATATACCATTCCATACAAAACACATTTTTATCTGATGTCCATTGGCAATTGGTATTACACTTGGAAGTTTTTATATTTCCTTGAATTTTATAATTTTGCAGGCATTGATTCACTTAGAGTCACTACAGTCACTTCCAAAGCGAATTGATTATTTGGATTCGTTGGTTGATAAGTTCATTGTTCCAAATACTGACAGCCCTAACGTTCCAACTATTGCTGAAAGAGAAGAGCTATCAAGCATTTTCTTGGAGGTAATGAACAGCTTCCAATTGATTATTTCCCGTGTATGATGCTAGTTGGAACTAAGACATTTATTGAATACCACTATCAAAGAATGGTTGCTTAAACGTAGTTGTATGCTTCTGCCAATAGACACCATGGAAATAATCATTAATGTCTTTATGCATGTGCATTGAATCCTAGAAGTGTTTAGGTTCTGCCCTTGAGCACTTGGTCGTGCTAATGTGGTGCAAATTGCTGACGGTGGTCTGTATTCTTTCGAATTGTCCGCATTTCCCATGTTCGTAAGTAATGATATGTTGCACTTTGACGTGAAGTTCTTACTGCTGAGGTTTTATAATTGTTTCTGGCTAATTTTTTTCCTTAAGATGTTATTGTTGAATTTTTAAAGCTTTATTCCCCAGCCATTGTTTAACTTATTTTACATTCAAATTGTTTTTGCAGTTTTTGGATCTCTTTGGAGATGCACAGTCTATACAGAAGGCTGATTATCGACACGCTAAACTTTTCTTGCGGCACAGGAGCACGTCAGAGTCAAAGAAGCGCCATTCAGAAGATTACTTGATTTCAGACAAAACTAAGCTTGCAAAGTCAGTTACTCCATCCACCCCTTCCATTGTGGGTGCATTTCCAAACACGCAAAATCCGTGGCCAGCAGGTTATGGTGTACAGCCTCAAGCTACTCAAGCTCAAGTACCACAGTGGAACCCTGGTTATGCCCAACAGGTACTTTCAACTATTGGTATTTTGATGCCATCAGGAGTTGGATGCTAGTCTTCCAAATGCATGATTTAGATGTTAATTTGGAAGTATGTTGTGCAACTGTATGATAAGCTTGATGAATATGATTTACCTTTTGCCCATTAGAACTTTGCTACCTCTGCATTTTAAATGTTCTTTTGCCTTTTTGTTCTATTTGTTGTGTTTGTGTACTAAATCACATACCTATTGAATTGTTTTGTTTTGGCTATCTAATTGAATCATTTTCATATATGCACGCATTAAGTTATTTTTTTCTTTGGTTGGGCTGGTTCTGTGTGTGATGTATGATGGTGGGGATACAATTTAAGTATGTTTTAGGGTTGCTTTCTCCAGTTGTATTGGCTGACAGAAACTGATTTTATATATTATGAATGGATGTATTCTTATCATTAGTCTGACTTGCCAATTCAAAACTATGTTCTTTTGTTTTTGGTTCTTTAGGCTGCATATAGCGCATACGGTAGTTATGGAACAAATCAACAAGTACCTACATCAGTGCCCCAAAGTGCTGCTTATGGAACTTATCCTCCAACTTATTCAACCCAGGTAACTTAAAACCATTCTCTGAATCGTAGCTTTGAACTGGATAGTTCCTGTTGTTGGATATCATTACATACTCATAGATCTCTATCTTGACAGTTGTAAATTATTTTAGAACGATGCTCAATATTTTGGTTTTCAGTTGTCTAAGATTAAAGATTAATTATTTTGGCTTTGCGGGTAGAAGAAAAAAGGTGATATTAGTAAACTCCCCTTCCTCATCTGCCATACGCTTGTTATTTAATGGTGTATTCTGCATTAAAGAATTGTATCTACCCTCGTTTTTTGGGGTCATACTCTTATTTTGAAATCGTCAAAATTATAATTACGATATTTTTAGCATGACTCTCAAATTTGCAGTGGTGTCTATGCCAAGTATTTTTTATTTTCATCTGCTAGTTTTTTAATATAAATATCGTTATTTTGGGGAGTTCTCGAATGATATCCACCCTTTTTATTCGACTATACAGTCTTTAAAAAGAATTGGAACCCAATTCTGGTAGTATATTCTGCCTTCGGTTGTAATATCAATACAAGCTTTTTTCAGCTAAAGCTGTTTCATATTCTTGGTTGAATTTTCTGCAGGCGTTTCCCCAACAAAGTTATGCACAACCCGCGGGAGCTGCAAGCTTGACTCCAGCACCACCACCTTCTGCAGTTCCACCTGCTTCATATTACGGCAGTTTCTATTGAGCAGGCGAATACTGTTACTAATCAATTTTGCTTGCCTGTAATTTAATCTCTTTACCCGTCCGGTATAAGTACTCCAATATCGTGAACTTAGACAGATGGCCAGGTAGTAGAGCACTTGGGTAGGGTGGTGAGAGTACTAGTTTGTATGTTAACTTTGTAGCCAACTTGATTCATACATAACTTTTTCTAGGTATCTTCTCGAGTATTTTAAATTTTTGTGTTACTGCTGTGCGAAAAACATTCAAGCTACTTCTTTTAAGTGGTGACTGGTGACAGAAGATGGTCGGGTCGAGGCAGCTTGTAGGCTTTGGAGGGCCTGATACATAGCCATGTGCCATCCATCGTCTAATGTTTGAGATATGGGCTTTTCGTTTGGTATGATTTTTAAAAAAATCTAAAGTTGCTCTTAAGAGGCAATAATTTTCATTTTTTGTGAAATATTAAATGAAAATCTGTAATATTACTTTTATGAATAACTTAATTTCGTTGATACTGTGGTACTGTTGGAAGATCTTAAAATTGCTGCATTCAAGAAATTGAAACTGACATGGAATCCCGAAGATTTTACTTTGCCAAATTTGTACCGCCCACTGCACTTAATCGTAGTTCAATCCTAGTCATTGAGATTGCTCACAGCTTATCACCCGGAAAATCGTTGCCGTTGATGATGATTCTTCCACCCCATAAGTACGGTCTGGATTTCGTTGCGTTGTCATTAAAATCGCTACACAGCAGAACGTAACGCCAAAAGGATGAGAAATTTTCACCTCTGACCCTCAATCTATTGCTTGAGTAGCAAATTGATTTTCATACTTTAAAAGAGGAAGCATATCCTTAAGCACCTGTTGGGTTTTGTTAAAATTCAGATTTAAAAAAATAATAATAAAAAAAATTGAAAAAAAAAATCATGGTTAAAAAGCTGAAAATGAATTTTAAAATATAAGGACAAAGGTCCTGATTTTTTACTACAATTACATATTATGTTCTTAATATACAAAAATCTTCAAATTTCTACCTCACATATTCAAATCTATTTGGCTAAATTTTGTTTCTCAACATGAGTTGATGGCAAAAAAATTTAAGTGTTTTCGAAAAGAGTACAAGTAAAGGGTGGATCATTTTGTCGTGTTAAAGGCTTGGCTATCTTCGCTCTTTTCACTTACCATCTTTTCTACTATCTATGTGCTAAAGTGGTGTTAGCTTTTTCTAGTCTGATGGACTTGTGAAGTGGGCAAAACTTTAATAATTGAGATGTGTTCTAAGGCCATGTGATAGTTTGTGAAAAATTGGAAGCTTTTCATTATATGGGATGCTAGTAATCCTTGGATGGGTTTCAATAATTAGTTCAATGAGGATTTGAGTTTTATGCTTAAGATTTTAAAGCATTTTCAAGAAATTCTCTATTCTTAAATAGTGTATTCTATAATTTAAAGAACACTTATAAATTTAGACTTCAAAGAGTGAAAATTTTGAGGTACTTTATCAGGTTCTTTATATTTAATATTTAATTCTATTACTCCCAAAAAAATATTTATTATTTTTCTATATCTTTTATTTTAATGAGTTTTTCTATAGATTATTATATTATTTTTCAACATTGAAAATTGAAATACCTTAAATGCATTTAATTATAGAGAGCGAGTTGAAGAACCAAACCTTTCTTTGAATTAAAATGTTAATTTAAAAAAATCTCTTAGAGCATAATTTTAAGAATTGACTATTTAAAATAAGGGACATATCAAATTTAAAAAAGCCTCTTAAATATACTCTTATCAGTCATAAATCTAATAACACGCTCCGTCCATATGTTCATGACATCGAGCATTCAAATGATCTTTTTTGACGACGTTGATGGAGATTTGAGTCAAGCAAGAGATTGAGTCCTATAATAAAGTCTAGAAGTTAGTGGGATCTTCTACTCTTACATACTAATTGTGAAAAATAATGATAAATTAAAGATCAACTTGCTAGTCGAATAATAATTGGAGACTAATACAGCAATTTTTCCAAATAAAAATAAATAAAGAAAGAAAATTCCATTCTCTCCTCACTTTTTAGATTTCACGTACTCTCTCTCTCTCTCTCTCTCTCTTGTCTCCTCTTCCATAGATCTACTGTTCTTGCAATCTTTCTACATCTCGTAATCTCTCTCTGATACGTACATATTCTCGCAGTGTAATTTATCTTTCTCTATTTAATTTCTGTTTCCCCCTTTTGAAGTTTATTTAAAGAAACGCACTCGAATTCATTGCGCAATAATTTAATGCATACAAAGAAATTCCCTTTATATGCTTGATTAAAGTTAGGTAAAGTTTATTATTTTTTACCCTTTGAATCGCGTAGGTCTTTATCTAGGGTTTTTCGGATCGGTGTTGGGGAGCGTGAATTGTAGGTAGAGATAATGGCTACTCAGTACGCTGCTCCAGTCACTGCTACTCAGGTTATCAGATTTCTTATTTGTCCGAGTTTATTCTTTCCTAATTTGTTATTTCTAAGATTGATTTTTTTTTTTTTTAAATGTGTTTTGGCGTGTTTGGATTATTAGGTTGGTTCGTATTTTGTTCAGCAGTATTATCAGGTGTTTCAACAACAAAGGGATTTTATGCATCAGTTTTACAATGAAGCCAGCTCTATGGTCAGAGTGGATGGGGTAACCAGCCAATCTGCGTCTGAAATGGTGGTAAGCTTTTATCTTTTTATTATATTTTTCGCCTGTCTGCGTTTCTTTGATAATTTAGTTCTCTCTCTCTCTCTCTCTCTCTCTCTCTCTCTTTTTGTGATGTGAGATGAGGTCATATTGAATTCATTAATTTGGCTTGAATAAAATTGGTGTATCGATTTAGATAGTGCATAAACCAAAGATAATACAGTGGAAATATTTTGTAGAAAATAAAATAGTCAAATTGAAAAGTAATTTTTCTCTAGTACGTTTTCAATTGATAAAGAAATTCTGCATCTTATTAAAAGAAGTGACAGTGAAAACTGTTAAACATAAACTTTAAATGCAGATGAAATATGAGGCGGGGACTTGTTTCTGCATAGCTTGACAAGTTTTTATTCACAGGGGAGATGTCTCTATATAATGGTTTTCAATTACAAATATGGAAATATCTCTGTTACTTATGAAAGTCACCTTCTTACCAGAACGGGACACTCTTAGCTGCCTCATTTTTCCTACTTCTGGCACTGACTATTCATTTATTACATGATTTTTAGAAGCTGACAATTGAAAATAGAAGTCGTTTATTGTTTTAGTGACTGTTATGAATCATTTACACAGAAAGAAAAGCAGATACATGTAGAATGTGGGTACACATCTTCTTGCTTATGAGAATACAAGAAAAGGATGCTGTATGTTCATTTGTTGAAATGATCTAGATTTTTTCCCCTTGTGTGGGTTCTTGGTTTAATTTTGTGGGAGGAAGACAGTGTAACATTTGTTTTCTCGACATTTGACACTTTTTTAAAGGTATCTGCCTTTTCCTGCAGGAAATTCATCAAATGATCACATCATTAAATTTCACCGGAATTGAGATCAAGACTATAAATTCTCTTGATTCATGGAATAGAGGTGTTCTCGTGGTTGTTTCTGGTTCTGTCAAGTCAAGGGATTTCAGTGGTTGGAGGAAGTTTGTGCAGACTTTCTTCCTTGCACCTCAGGAGAAGGGTTATTTTGTATTGAATGATATTTTTCACTTGCTTGATGAGGAAGCTCCCGATCAACTTCCACCTTCAGCAGTACTGGAACAGGAACATGATTATCAACCAGCTATTTCTACTCATCATCCGGAGCTGCCAGGTATAGTTGACTGCTTTGATTTATCTGTGATGAATGAATACTCTGTTTTCCTCATATAGCAGCAAAGAAAGACTAATGGTATTTCATTCATATAAGGAATTTTTCTTATTTACCACACCTCCACTTCTCTCAATGTAACCACATTTATGAAGAAACAATCGTCTAGCTTCTGGTTCCTGTTCAAATAACTAGATGTGGGAATTTCTAATTCAAACAGATGTGCACAAACTTTATTTTATTTTTTTTCCTTCTAAGTTAACTTTGAGCATTTAAATAGCAATGTTATATTCAATCTTTCAAATTCTTTTTGTTAATTTTGATGTGCAAGAATTTGTGAAGGGGGTTCCGAGTCTTTGGTCATGAGAACTGGTAATTCTACTGTGTCCGTATTTTATATTATTGGATCGTGTTGTTGTAAAATAAATGTCATGGAAAAATAGGATTTCCTATCTGTATGGTTTTCTTAAATACTGTGCCAACTTGTTTTGTTTTGTATCAGGTTCTGACTATGCTTTAGAGGAGGAGGCTGGGGTATATGTGGATTCTGTACACATTGAAGGAGATGTGCCAGTGGAAGAGTATAGTTTTCAAGAGTATCAGGAGGAGCAGGATCCTGAGGCTGAAAGAGTGGAAGAGGATGCTCCTTTGGAAGACACAAATCCCTTACTTCAAAGTGAGGCGGAAACTGTGCAAGAACCTGTGCGTGCCATAGAGGAACCTGTTGAAGAGCCTCCTATGCCGACTTATGCTTCTATTGTATGTACAGCAACCATTTGTTCCAGTTCATGAATTTATGGCATAACATCTATCTGATTCTTTTGCATCATGTGAAATCTTCTAAATGCAATGCCAAAGTGTACAAATCATAATTTCCTTGCCGTCTCATCAATATTGAGTTATCTGAAAATATGCTATATGAGTCAGTTACGGATGCAGAATCAGCTAGCAGAACTATTCAGAGAGAGGATTATTAGCGATATATCTAAGTATTTTGTATATACTTCCCCGTTTATTGGTGGATATATTTTCTGTCATTATATATCAAATACCTGATACCGCAGGTGTTCCACATCAGTGAGGCACTATGAATTCCAATATAACTAAAGATTTCACAATTCCTAAGAAACTTGAGCTCTCTTAGAGGTTATTCCTGGAGTCCCTGAAATTTGTACTATATTGGTTGCCCCACCTCCTTTTTAGTCCAATGATTCCTATCATAATGAATGGAAGTAATTGTGGATATTTTAAGAACAGTTTAGAAGTCAGGGAGACCATCACCACTGGTATTCCCTGATTATTCCTTTCTCTTTATCTTTAACTTTGTTCATTGAATGTGGATGTTTCTTGTGATACTTTCCCTACCAGCGTATGTATTGTTATAATCACAGGTAACTACACTAGGATGAACTCATTTTCTCGAGACAGATTCTTTTAACTCTCTTGTCGTGCATATATCCATGATGCATCAATGATTTGTTCACTATATTTCTGACTGGATGTTATTCTCTCCCATGCTTTCTTGGAACATTAAAAGTTGCGTGCCAAGGGAAAACTGGCACCATCAGTCAGTTCTAGGCCATCTTTCACTCAAAGCACACCGCCTGCTTCAGATTGGAACCATGCATCACAGCCCTCACTTCAGCAGTACCCTGTGACATCTGTTGTAGTAGATACTGATGTGGATGCAGTGGATGAAAGTTCTCCTCAACTGGAAGGTACATTTTATAATCCTTTTGGAAGTATAAGTTCTCTGAGTTTTAAGTACATTTTCTATATGGAAGTATTGCGAAGTTTTCTTTATTTCAGTTAACTGTACCAAAGTTTAACTTGTTTTTCCAACTTTAATTCCGTTAACATTTGTTTAGTACATAGAGTGTTTGGGGCTAAATTCTTGTTTGGGATTGATAAGCTAGAATTTTCTAAGGTTTTAACTGATATTTGGTCGACATTTCTTCTTTTTCTGCTTTTCATCCTTGAATATCAATGTGGTATGAATTGGAGCAAATAAGTACTTCTGATTAAACTTTTCTGCATCATCAAATTATAAGAAGTATATGTTTAATTTTTTGTCCTGGATCTTTGAACAAAAGCTTGTGGTTGGATGAGTTATTACAAGAACCATAATTCATTGAAAAAGACTAGTTATAAGAATTTCATGCAAGTTCTTGTAATCGGCTCAAAACCAGTTATCATAATTGACTCTTGTAATTATTTTCTCAGGGGAATCAAAATCTGTGTATGTGAGGAACTTGCCACCTACAGTTACTAGTGTGGATATTGTGCAAGAGTTTAGGACTTTTGGGAAAATCAAGCACGATGGGGTCTTCTTAAGAAATCGCAAGGTCTATTTCCTTTATTCTCATCGTTACCATGTGGTCTGATTACATCTGTGGAATATCTAAATTTTGAATTGATGAACAGGATGCTGATGTTTGCTATGCCTTTGTTGAGTTTGAAGACGTGCAGAGCGTTCAGAATGCAATCAAGGTTTGATCCTTTTTCATATAGAACCAGTAAATGTTTGTCTGAATGATCGGAGATCAAAGATGGGAGTTGTTTCGATAAGTATTATTTATTATTATTATTATTTTTTGTATGTACAAAATTTTGAGATACCTTATGCTTAGCATTCTTTTCACTTTTTAATTTTCTATTCCGTTCATGTTCTTGATGAGAATTATGTCATTGTTCTGCTTAATTTGAGGTAACAAGCATAAAAGATATCTTATTAATATAGGCTCGCTTCATGGTTCCATCTTTAGTCCTTATATTTTTGCTTGAGTCCTGGATGAGTTTACGAGGCATTTAAGATGTAGTGGGTTGGTGCATGTCATTCATTAACATAGTTTTGTGGATGAGTTTAGGAAGAGAGAGTACAACTTTGGATAGAATATGTAGAATGTTCTTTTTACTCGCTATAGAAATAAAGATGGTAATGAAGTTACAGTACAGGTTGGTGTTCCAAAGAGTGTGTAGGTATTTATGTTCTAATTTTTTATACAAGACTTGAAGAGGATCTCACGCATGATATGTGAATTATTGAACTCTTGATGCATGTCTTGTGTAGACCCAAAGAACCTACGACTCCCCAGAGCCCCTATTGGAAGAAGAAGAAAGGGGGGGGGGGGGGGGGGGGGGGGGGGGGGGGGGGGGGGGGGGGGGGGGGGGGGGGGGGGGGGGGGGGGGGGGGGGGGGGGGGGGGGGGGGGATTGAGGGGGGGGGGGGGGGGGGCGGGGAGAGAGAGAGAGAGAGAGTATTTGGGTTAGATCAATGATGCTTATTCTTAAACAGTTCTGAAAGGGTTCGTTCCTATAGAAAGAAGCATCCTTCATCGCTCTCATTTGCGTCTAGCCTTGCGTACATAGCCTTTTGGCGCGCTATTTGCTGCTATGCTGACAAATGAGTGGCTAAGAGAGGACTTGTGTAGTTGGCCCAAAGTTTATTAGAAAGAAGTCTTAGCTTGCTGTTACTGTTCATCTAATTAAAATTAAATGTGTAACTTTTAGAATAAATCATCTGTTAGTCCACAACTATCATTATCTTACAAGTGATATGGAGCTCGACAAATGTGCTACTGCATCCACTAGTTTTCCAGAGTCCCAAATAAGGTTTTGAAATTCCAATTGTAGTCTCTTGTACGCAAAATTGAGTGGTGAAGACAATGTAGTTTCATTTGTCTAATTACTACTGGGACGTTAAAAATGATTCTCAAATTTTTCATTTTTTACTGGGCACAAACCATGTCTGGCAGTTTAATATTGTTTTATTTTGTTTCTCTCTTCTAGGCTTCTCCAATTCAGTTGGCAGGAAAGCAAGTGTACATTGAGGAGAGAAGACCAAACACCGGAAGTACATCAGGAAGTACTTCACGAGGTGAGAGTATTTTCTGTAAACTGCTTTTACTTTGTTTAGTATACTGCTAAGTTGTTGGGTTATCTTATGATTTTCTGTTCAAGCTGTCCTTATTTTCACATTGCTTTAAAATTCACAATGACTGTGTTTCTTTCTAAAACCCATCTAATTATTTTCGTTATTCCGACCCTTGTGGTTGAAGTTTGAGGTTCATTTTTTCTTCTTATTTTCTCAGTATCCTCCTGGATGATCATATTAAATCATTTGTTCTTCCAACATCTGATGTTTTTGACTATTGTTTGTTCAAAGCTAAGGTTTTTTGGATACCACCCCACCCCTCCAAAAACCAGAACACACAGAGAGAGAGAGAGAGAGAGAGAGAGAGAGAGGCTACTTGAAGAGTAATGTTATTTATCATTAGTCGTGACTACTAACAGTCATGGGTCTTGGTGGTAGCAAGGCCTCTAGTTCAATAATGAAGTAGAGGCCCTACTACTACCACTATCTAATAGCATTACACTCTGAGAGTAAATGGATATTCAGACATTTACATCTGCTTCCTCTGCCATTGTCGTGACCAGGAAGAGGAAGAGGCAGAGGCGGCCGTTTTGGTGGAAGGACTCTCGGGAGGGGAGGAGATCAAAATGCTAGAGACAACAACAGATCAAAGATCAATGGTTTCCGTGGTATATGATGAGAAAACAATGGTCATGAATACGAAAAGCTAGCCTCCTTATGCAGCTATAACTTAGGTCTTGATGGAAGAGGCCAAAGCTTCTGGATTTTACCATGAAACTTCTATTGAAGAACATTTTGTTACGAGTGATTTTCTTCCCCTTTTAATTCCCTCTTGGTAGTTCTTTAGTTTTTCCAATTTAAGAGCATATTTTGTAATTTGGAGCAAAGTTATTAATTTGAAATATTTGTGTGGGTGATCCACAAGGAAACATGAAGCCACAGGGATTATATTTCTGGCATTTTGAATATGTTAACGTGGAGAAAATATTGTTTGATTATCTTGTATACTTGGAACTATAAAGGAAAAATGAATTATTTTACTCTTATCGTAACAGTGTTTTTTACGGTAATGTTAATTAAAAATTTGACAGACGCATAATGTTGAATGTATAAGTGTGAAAAATTAAACAAATATTAAGGAGTTCATTGTAATTAATTATGAAAACTATGGTGTGGACTGTTACTAATTTCCACAAAAGTTGTACTGAAAACGGCATCTGACGGTGGCCATTTAACGGTGAGCATATATTAGAAAAGGGAAAATTGTAATCATGATGCCAAATCTTTCATTTATTAGCAGAGTTTGTTCAAACCTTATATTTATGTCACTGTGAGTACCAAATCTTTAAAAAATTTGCAGTTCAAGTCCAAAATGACGGTTTCTGTTAGTTTGACTACCAAAATCGTTAGTTGACTCCCAAAATTTAAAAAAAAAAAAAAAGGTTATTATTTTTCCAAATAAGATAGGAGCATTTTGGATAAAATATATTTTCCCTATTAAATCAAAAATTTAATAAAAAAACAAAAAAATAATGCAGCAATCCATTCCCAAAATCAAAACTACTCCACCCAACCACCACAATCACCGTCGACAACCACCACTACCCATCCAAAACGGGCATCACCACCACTCATTTCTCTCAAAAACTTGAGCTCCGCAACATCACTTTCAATCCACAAATTTACCATAATCTATCAACAAAATCTTCCTCAAAATTCATACAATCCACCAACCAGACTTATAATGCAGCAATCCATTCCCAAAATCAAAACTACTCCACCCAACCACCACAATCACCGTCGACAACCACCACTACCCATCCAAAACGGGCATCACCACCACTTATTTCTCTCAAAAACTTAAGCTCCACAACATCACTTTCAATCCACAAATTTACCATAATCTATCAACAAAATCTTCCTCAAAATTCATACAATCCACCAACCAGACTTAAAAAATGGGAAGTCCCAGAGCAGTTGAGTTGGGCGCTTGCATTTTAATTATCCTATCCTTCATAGGTATGTGTTTCACAATTTATCTAGGATTGTTTTAGCAATGACATATATTTTGAATATTTGGATCTTGCCACATACGGAAACAAATTCTGCCTCAAGTTTTGCTTCAAATAAAAGGAATTATTTGATAGTTGACAGATTCGAAGACCCTTTTAAGTTTTTTAATTTTCAGGGGTACACAATCTTCTGTTTTGTGTTACCAGGTAAAGTTGGGGGTTTTATCGCATCCATACCTGAAGTATCGCGTCCATACCTGAAGTCATGGTAGCAGCTCTCTTGTGCTTTTATATGGGCAATGCTTACAGCATTGGAGTTGTAACTAGAGGTGGGCGCGGGGTCTGTTCGATTCGGTTCTAAAGAGAACCGAACGGAATCAAAAATTTCTGGTATCTAGTAAATGAAACCGTTGGGTCCAAATATAATTATGGAAGCGTTCGGGTTCGATTTGAAATGTCACAGACTAGTAGACTACCTTATTCAAATGATCGCTATGGTCAAAACTTCGATTGACGGAGGTCACAGCTTCAATTGGACGTCACAGTGTCAACCGGCGATTGTATAGATTTTGGAATGTCAGCAAAACTGCGAGAGTCGAAACAATGTTACGCACTTTAGTGTAAGTATTTAGGGTTATTTAGTGGGTTATATCTTTGTTGTGCTAAGAAATTAAACAATAAAATGAGTAATTGGGTCAAAAATTAAAAAATTAGAAATGAAAAAAATTATTGGGCCAAAAATTTGGATTTAGAAATTGTTAATTTGTTTAAAAAAATTAAAATTAAAATAATTTGATTTATTCAATATAAAAAACAATTAGAAAGATTCGGTTTTCATTCGGTTCTTCGGTTCTTGGTCTAGAGCCGAGAATCGAACCCTACCTGTTGATTTTCAATTCAGATACTCGTTCAGATATTTAATTTGACAAGAACCGTCGAGTTCGGTTCGGGTGCCCTAAAATCTTTTTCATTTTCATTATTTTATTCTTTTATAAAAATAGACTCGAGATGTTACCAATATCTTCTTTGTCTAATTTAAGCGGAAATATCACTTTCATTAAGTGTTGAAAATGTATAAAAATAACTATTAAACAATGTGCACAAAATTCAATGCGAAGATGTTCTTCAAATAAAAATTTGACAATTATCTTTTCTAAAAAAATTACTTGGGCGACTCTATAAGTATCACTCGATCAATCTTCCATTCATCAAAATGACCCGTTCTCATCTGAAAGGTATTGTAAGAGTGAGTATTTTGAAAAAACTCAATAAGAATATGTACACATTCTTATTCACGTGATATAAGACCTTGTTTGAGCCACATTATTTGAAAAAAAAAATATATTTTTCAACAGTGATTTGATATCGTTTTAACTACACATTCTTTAATAAAATAATATTACACGTAAATCCAAAATAATTCATTACATTTTAACATCACATTTTCCATCAATATACTATTCAAAAATGTATTTTCATTTCAATAATGTAGCTCAAACAAGGGTTAAATATAAAACTGACATAACATATCAACATTTCTTAGATTTAGAGTTCAATGAATTTTTTAAGAATCTTGTATCTCGTAAGATTTATCATATTTGACCTAACGATCTATCTCGAATGATTTAACATAGAGTTCGACCCGAAGGCCTCATAGCATTTTATGTCAAAAATTATACAAATATTAAGGAATAAGAATTTACCATTTTGCATGATTTATTCTTTCCTCAATTTGATATCCATGAATTTATTTGAAAATGATGTGAAAAATATAAATATGATACTCATCTCAAATTCTAAGAATATTAATAGTGAGAAGTATGTACAATAGAAACTATGGTAGAAGTAAATCATTTCAATAATGTATAGTTTACGTGTATGAATCTGTAAAGGAATGAAGTTGTGAAATTGTCTTAAAAGTAAAAGCACTCAACTAAGTGACCCAATCTCATCCTTTTATTTATTTATTATTAATTTTTTTTTCAAAACTTAAACTAATAGCATAACACAGATATCTATTTCGAAAAATATGGTATAACGTGTAATTTCCATAACAGTCACTTATAATTAGTTATGCAGGTAACATAAATCAACAAAACACATGTTAGGTTAAGGGTGAATTAATGGTGTTAATAAAATTTATTCATTATCAAGATTAATGGTTTAATAAATTTAATTATATGTAAACCTATTCGTTTCCTTCCAATAAAACCATGATCGTTCATATTTCTAGGAAATCTCATTTTATATTATATATTAATAAAATATTAAAAGATAACATATTTCTTTTTATTAGAATAACTTGGGCATACTAGCTCAAAATTTCTTTTTCTTGATTCCAAATTATATTATTTAACACGAGCGATAAAACGAGTATAATATTGTTATATTTTATTAACTTCTAAAATACGTAAATATTCGATCCAAATAAGATTTACGATAAATTCTAAGTACAAGTGAGCAAAATAAATCATCAACCTTTGAACTTTTAGTGTGATGACAAATCTAAACATGAATTATTTCATTTGCTAAGTGATCCATATTAAATTTAGGCTCATATAAAAAATAATAAAAAGTCCGAGGTGTTACAGGAGTTGTCAAATTTACAGTATAGCGAGGTAGGGAGTTCATGGAACATTATAATTGTTGGCTTGTCTTTTGAAATGGTTGAAGCTCGGCTTCGACCAAACCAGGTAAAATATAATTCCAATCAACACAATAATAAATCAAATCAGATGATATCAACAACTCAATCTAAAAATCTATTAATTGAACTGAAACTTTCACAGAAATAACAAGGAACAACAAAACAGAGAAGGGGCAGAATGGAAGGGAAGGAGTGAAGAAGAGAATTTTGAGAGGGAAGGTTCACAATAATCCCGTTTTGAGAGGGAAGGTTCACAATGATCCCGTTCTTTTCGCGCCCTTATTTCTCCTTTCCCCTTCAATTATAACCAAAATAGAAGCAAGGAACGCGTTTATGAAAATGCAATGTATAAAACGCATTCCTATTACATTCATTACTATTGACTCAAAACGGCACCGTCTTGTTTATTTGAAATGACGCCTCACTTGATTCAAAAAATCGATGGTTGCTTGTCTTCTTCCCGATGTTCCTCCTGCCTTTGTTTCCCCATTTCAACTGCCATGTTCCTTCATAACATCTTTGTTCTTGTCCCTTTCAATACTAGCTTATTTTCAGCAGTATGGTATTTCCCCGAACACAAACTTGTATGTTCCAAATTACTTCTAACCATATATTCAGTGGGGTAAATTTTTTCTTGCTCATTCACTAATAACCAACACAATCCTTAAGAAATGGTTGATGAACGGGTGGTGGTGGTGATGGCGTTGAGTAGGTAGTGGTGGCTATTGATGGTGGCTATGGTGATTGGGTGAAGTGGTTTTGATTTTGGGGAATAAGGAGATAGGGATGTGTTGTGACTTATTATTTGTTTTTTTGAATTCTTGATTTAAGAGGAAAAATGTATTTTATTCAAAATGTCCCGGTTTTATTTGGGGAAAATAATAAAGTTTTCTTATTTTGGGAATCAATTGACAGTTTAATAGTTAAATTAACAAAAATAATTTTTTTTATCCTGGATCCTATCTCTGCTTGAATAGCAATCAATTGGGGGCCTTAATTTACCTTTTTCATCAGAGAGAGATTGGTTTGGTGGTAGGAATTAAAATGTTGGAATGCAGCTGCCTTTATTGGAGCAGATTGACCTATGTATGGCAGCACGAGCCTGAAACTTTCTCTCTGCCCGCTCCAATTCCTCAATGGCCTCAAGGTAATAAAAATTATTTACTTAATTATTTATACATGCATGTAATGAATCTTAATTCTGGTCATCAGTTGAGGTTTCTGAATTTTGTTGATTCACTCGGTTTGAGATACTGTTATTTGCGGAGATTACTCATGGCTCAAAATGGGTATTTTCTTGCTAAAATAATGTTTGTGCTGTCCATTTTTACAATGATAATGTTTATAAAGAAGAAACTTCCAATTCTAGGCACTTTGAACTTAATTCTGTGGTTATGAGGAGACTAAGATAGCCGATATTTTAGTGGTTAGATTAAATTATATTGTGATAATTGTTTGAGCATTTCCAGTTTATGCTATTTCATTCATTTCTTTTACAGGCATAGTTTTTGTTGACCATCCAATATATCAAGTCTAATGTCTTCGATGGAAGGGAATATAGAGCTATATGCAGTTCCTTAGTTTGTATTCTTGTAAATGCATAATTTTGAAATACTCCTTTATATGGAAGTCGGAAAATTATAAACTTGGTGTATGTATCCATTTTCACAATAATTTTGTTCTTCACATTTGCCTATAGTTGGTTTTTCATGTAATTTATCTATTTGGTCAGAATAAATCAGTGCTTGCATTTTTTTGGTGCTTTGCTTCACTTATTGGTAGGGTAATCTGTTTTTATTAGAGAAGTGATTGTTCGAATTTTATCTTTTGCTTCTCTACTTTTCTCGTACTGTTGTTCCTTTTTTCAAAATTTGCTCCTTTGGAAGGAATAAAGTCTTCCTAACTAGCGTCCCAATGTTGACTTAATTAGGCTCCTACTCTTCTTAGTATTCGCGAACATATTGTTTATTTTGAAGTTCCATTTCAAATTTTTGTGTGTTCTGGCATTCTATTTTCTTTCTTATCCTTTATTTTTAAATTTGTTTCCAAGCTACCTATTTTCTTGAGAAATGAAATACCACTAGTGGGGCTCTTTGTGAGAACTACAATTTGGAAATACCTTTTTCAGTTCTTGCCTATGTTTCATGCATTGAGGGACCTGCAAAGTTGTCAAATTCATGATTCTTTGAATGGCTTATTTAATTTGAACTTCTACTTGTTACTTTGTGGTAACTATTGTTTGAATATGCAGGTTCAGGATTTGGTAGCTTTAGAATCAGATTAGGAGAATTAGAGGTTTTCGAAGTAACTAATTTCGAGTTTGTATGGGGATTTAATATGTCTCAGGACAGGAAACGGGGCGTTAGTTTCTATAAACCAATTGGAATACCGGAGGGATTCTTTAACCTTGGTCACTACTGCCAATCTAATGAAAAGCCTTTACGAGGGTTTGTTCTTGTGGCTAGGGAAATGTTCAAATGTGAGCCAGGACATTGTTGCTACTCTAGTTCTGACTCCATGCCAGCTCTCATGACTCCTGTTGATTATACATTAGTTTGGTGTTCAGACGATGGTGGTGATGAAAATTTTGATACATGTGGTTGCTTCTGGTTACCCCAACCTCCTGAGGGTTATAAATCTTTGGGCTTTGTGGTGACCAACAGGCCAGAGAAGCCACAATTAGGGGAAATTAGATGTGTCCGTGCTGACCTAACAGATAAATGTGAAGCTTATCGCCTGATAGTCAACACCCATTCTAAGTTTTTAAAAGTACCGTTTAAAGTTTGGAGTATTAGACCTCTTCACCGGGGAATGCATGGTAGAGGGGTCTCAGTAGGTAGTTTCTTTTGCAGTGGCCACTGGATCCCAGGAGAAGAGCTGGATATTGCATGCTTGAAGAACTTAGATAATTCATTACATGCAATGCCGAATCTTGATCAAATTCGTGCACTAATAAGGCACTACGGGCCTATTGTCTTCTTCCATCCCGATGAGACTTATTTGCCGTCTTCTGTTTCGTGGTTCTTCAACAATGGGGCATTACTGTACAGAAAAGGTGATTCAATCAGCATGGCAATTGATAGTGAAGGTTCCAATCTGCCTAGGGGAGGGACAAATGATGGGGAATATTGGATAAATTTGCCAACTGATGGTCGGAAGAAGAGGGTTAAATGTGGGAATTTAGAAAGCTCCAAACTGTACATACATGTAAAACCAGCATCAGGCGGGACTTTCACTGATATTGTGATGTGGGTTTTCTGCCCCTTTAATGGGCCAGGAACTCTGAAAGTGGGATTGATGAATATTTCTCTTAGCAAGATTGGTCAACATGTGGGTGATTGGGAACATTTTACACTTCGTATTAGTAACTTCACGGGGGAGCTCTGGAGCATATATTTTTCACAGCACAGTGGCGGTGTATGGGTTGAAGCTTTTGATTTGGAGTTCATCGAGGGAAACAAAGCCATCATTTATTCATCAAAAAGTGGTCATGCTAGCTATCCGCATCCCGGAAATTATATTCAGGGTTCCACAAAGCTTGAAATTGGAGTGAGGAATGATGCTGCTCGTAGTCACTTCTATGTGGATTCAAGCACACAATTCGAGATTATTGCAGCTGAATATCTTGGCAATGGAGTCGTTAATGAACCATGTTGGTTACAATATATGAGAGAGTGGGGCCCAAAAGTTATCTATGATTCAAGAACCGAACTGGATAAAATCATCAGTTTCCTGCCTTTGACGCTTCGATATTCAATTCAGAACATTTTTAGCAAGTTACCTATGGAGTTGTATGGGGAGGAAGGCCCTACTGGGCCAAAAGAAGCTTTTGATTTGGAGTTCATTGAGGGAAACAAAGCCATCATTTATTCATCAAAAAGTGGTCATGCTAGCTATCCGCATCCCGGAAATTATATTCAGGGTTCCACAAAGCTTGAAATTGGAGTGAGGAATGATGCTGCTCGTAGTCACTTCTATGTGGATTCAAGCACACAATTCGAGATTATTGCAGCTGAATATCTTGGCAATGGAGTCGTTAATGAACCATGTTGGTTACAATATATGAGAGAGTGGGGCCCAAAAGTTATCTATGATTCAAGAACCGAACTGGATAAAATCATCAGTTTCCTGCCTTTGACGCTTCGATATTCAATTCAGAACATTTTTAGCAAGTTACCTATGGAGTTGTATGGGGAGGAAGGCCCTACTGGGCCAAAGGAGAAGAACAATTGGGTTGGGGATGAAAGATGTTAGGCATTTTGTTGCTTTTCCTTTTAACAAATGTCAGTCTCTTCTGCAGATATGCTATGATGTTCAGAATGTTGAAAAAGAACTGGCGGAGAATTTGTTGCAACTGTGTAGTTTAACTGAAGAGAAGCCATCCGGATACTGATGGCCTTGTTTCCTCACCAGACAAGATGTTGAAGATATGAAGATGAGAAGGACATGAGTTGCGGAATAATACAGAGCTCTTTTTACTGATAGAATTGAAATCAATTGGATTTCATATTTGTATTGATGATAAGGAGTAATTGGGAAACAAGTTAATGAGTGTAAAATTGTCGAAAGAATAATAGGTCACGGACTCACGGTAATATATTTGAATTGTATTTTTAACACAGAAGGGTATGAACATCTTCTCGAGTATGTTCGGTTATATTGGTCCATCATGCAGAGAAGCAATGGAAACATGGATTAATGTAATGAACGAGTTAGCTCCTTCAGCAAGAAAAGCAAGAAGACTTCAGGTTTTGAAAATGAAATGAATCTTAGTTTAATGCAACTCAGTGGTTAGATTGTAAATCCTCAACTTTTTGCAAATTGTTCCTTGACTATGATAATCTCTTATTTTCTGCAAGTTTCATTCTGACATGATAGTAAAGAATTTGCAGTTTTGGATGAGTAGGATATACTCTTGACTGATTACAGATTATTGAGCCAATTTCTCGAGGATTGACACAGCGCCTAGAGTCTCGCATAATTGCCTAGCGCTAAAACCACAGCTGCCATCATCGCTTTTCCGAGGTAACAAATGTTATTTACAGCTCCCTTTCGCTTGAAGTTACAGTAGATTTTAACTCAATATGAACTTCTTATCTCGTTTGTGTAAAAAAATGTGTTCAACTTTTACTTTTCTGGGGGAAATTATGCCTTGTAGTTAGCAAGAGCTCAAATGAGAAACTGACACAATGCACTCACCTGTATGCATCGCTAGATTTCATTCCCATTGGTTGCACTGCCCTTGCCCTTGATAACTTGAGCAATTTTAGTAATATTCACAGTTTTGGTGTACGATTTGATTTATGTTCAGAAGACCAAGCAAACATAGTGTTGATAAGAGGTTACATAAAGGAAAGATGACTTAGATGGTTCAAATTAAATGAGACTCCTGTTCTCAAAAAGGGACAGAATCTCAGTAGAACATATTGAAAAGAGGGAATAAAGTGAAATTCCTAGTTGTCTATGTCGGGAAGACCAAGAAGACATAGTGTTGATTGAGGATACATTAAAGGAAAGACGATTTAAATGGTTCAGATATGTTTTAGATAGAATTAAAAAAAAACTTTCGCTCTTAAAAAGGTGGATTCTCAATACGCATATCAAAAGATGGTAATAAAATGAAATATCTCGTTGTTGTCAAAACCCACCAGCCGGAACCAAGATGAATAGCTTGACTTTGGCAGCATAGGTAGCTATGCATGAGTTAGGAATGAAGCAGTAGACAAACAGAACAACTCAGGAATTGTCTGCTGTAGTAGTGTTGTCTTGTCTGTCGTTTGACCTCTTAAGGCGACTGCAACTTTAGATTCTCTCAAGTACAAGAGAATAGACTTGGCTTATTTTATGGGTAGGCAACCAAAATACACAAAGATTAGGGTGCGTTCCCTTTGCCGTTTTGGAGCCGTTTTCCATTTTTAGTTTTCGAAAATGTCAAAAACGCGTTTTCGAAAACAAAAAAAAAAATTACTGAAGAAAACGGAAAACGTGAAAATCACGTTTTGGGCGTTTTCTTCACAAAAGGCGGAAATTGTGGAAACCGCGAAAAATGGACACTCTTTCTGGCTGAACACATTTCCCGGCTTCCTCTCTCCCGAGCCTCCTCAACTGCCGGAATCACCACCTTCGGGCGACGAAACCACTTGCTTCAACCACCAGAAGCCTCGTCTTATTTCCCTCTACAATATCCAACCAACCATCATCCACAAAATCAACCAAAGGCAGTAGAAAATCCAGCCAAAAACACAAATGTCGCACACACTTTTCTATGGAAAAACTCCCATTCCTGCGACGCCCATGGTCGCGCACCACCAACAGTCGATAGACCTCATCCAGGTGAACAATATCATGTCCTAACGTCAACCAATAATACATCAATTCGTTGAGATGTGAATCTACTCAAATACGGTAGTAGCAAGAACAAAGCAACGGTATCGATTCATGTTTTTGGCCAATTTGAATCAGTCGATTGGCATCAGTCGAGGGTGAATCATGTCCCTACAACCATGGGTAACACTTCAATTTCATCAATTCATGCAGAAATCATCACCGGAATGGGAGTTTTCGGCCTCGCGACTTGTTGATTTTGAGCAGAAATTTCGGCCTGGTCGACCGGAGTTAGGCCAACTGTTGGGTGGGATTTATAGATGGCATTGCAGGCTTCAAGGTGGTACTATGATCTGGTGACCATGGTGGCCGAAAAGTGGGAGATGATGCTCCATAGGTGGCGGTATTGAGAGAGTGCGTGTGAAAATGTTTTCTAAATTTTGTAAACCAAACACATTTTCTTATTTTTTTGTTTTGAAAAATAATTTTTCAAAATGACAAACCAAATGTATTTTCAACAATTTGAAAATAAACACTCAAAACACAAAACTCAAAATGAAATTGAAAACAGAAGATAGAAAACTGAAACGCAAAGCGAAGGCCCCCTTAGCTTTTGGGTGGAAAACTATGCTCGAACAAGGTTGAATAGTAGTAATTTTATTTTCCAACCAAATGGGATATACGATTGCCAAGTCAATCAGTGTAGAATGTTGTACCATTAACGATTTGGGATGACCTTCTCTCGTCAAAAATGCTGATCGATATATGTCTCTCGACCTTCATTCTTACTTCTATTAATTCTTTTCTAAAACGAGCATCTAACTTGAATATCGGAATACACTTATCACCACCACTGTTTTCTTGGACGACTGGAAACACTAACCAACATACCTGTTGGCACGCCTCATCTTGGATCATGCCAGCTAGTAGTCAGATCTACTACTAGGGCTGATTGCAATCTATTATTCTTCTTATTATAATTAGCTTGTCGTTGAGTCCGGCTACTAGTTGACATTCATCAACAATATAAACTGTGATTTTGAATTATCTTATCACTTGTTTTCTAGGAAAACAAGGGACGGTGGCGGCTACGACCGGACACTTCTTTCAACAGTCAAATGTGATGTAAATCACATTCAGAAAAAAGGCAAAAGAAGACCGCAGACAAATCCCAAAACTATCTAATTGCACTGTCGAGCTAAAGAAACGAGGTTGGCGTGAAAATACAAAATCAAACATTAGTGTTTTTTGTCATTATGACTAGGATTCTTTAGTGGGTCCGATTTCGTATTTATCTCTTTTTTGAAAAAATTAAAATTTTATTCATAAATATATGTACAAATTTAAATCAACCTTAATCATATCATTATCTAATATATTTTTTCACGCTTGTTATTATTGTTGTTGCTAGTGTGCTACAAATTCACAGCAAAAATACTTTCACAAAAATCGAGGACAACCAAAAAGGGCTAAACAAATACCAAACCTACCAAATTGACTTTGCTTATTTTGAACACTAAAATTCTAACTGAATATTACAACATGGCTCGATAATATTCTAACTCAATTTTACAACATGATTTGATCATTTACTTGTTCATGAACTCACAGCTTCATCACAAACGATGAAAGGGGGGCTACGGAAGGTTGACAACTATATGAGGGAGAGCTCGCTGGTGACATGAGGATGCTCGAAATTGAGTCATTTCTTTAGATAGTTTTGAACGCTAACCTCAAAACTCTCAGCTTCATCTAGTCTATGCCATAGAGAAAATTCATCAAAACTTCGTATTCTTGACGTAAAAGCTACCTTAACACTCAAAATGCATTAAATTAGTATATTCGTTCGTATAAAATACATTCAATTAGGATAGACATCATTGAGTACTATCTAATATTTCATACAAACCATACCCCAGAAGTTGATGACAACCGAAAAAGACTACACAAAGACCAAACCCACAGAATTGGTATTCTTATACAAATAGCACTCATCTGTTACGCTGCTTACGCATAGTGCACTTAATTGTCATTAACATTTTGTTGGGGGCAGAATAGGAAAGCAATTAATACAGTTACCTTAATCTCATTCCACGTGTTGTTGAGCCGTGTGACCCCATTGGGACCCACATCTTGTCGGCTTGTCGTTCGTTCCTAAAGTCTTGTTTGTCCCCACCTCAACCTTCCAAGTTACGACATCATTTAAACACTTCTATTTGTCGCGATAATGTCAATTTCTCGAAAAAGTTACCCTTCGTCCTTTTTATCGTTTGGTAGTGCAAATTGGCTTCATGAGGAAGCTTTTTTATTTTTTAAAATTATTTATAAGAGAGAGGATTGACTTTCATATTTTCATTAGTCAAATTATTTTTATCCTAAAATTCATAAATATTATCTACTTATTTAAAACTCATTTAGGACCTGTTTGTGCCCCTTTAATTCCAAAAAGTGTATTATGAAATAGTGATGATGTTGAAATGCATAGTTAAAAAAGAATTTTTTATTTTATTTTACGTGTAATATTATTTTAATGAAAAATGTATGGTTAGTACTATAGAAAAAATAATAAGGTAGAATGGTTGACAAACAAAGGTTTATATAATTTTACAATTTAAATTGATTATAAACAATTCTTTAAGATAACTAAACAATCTAAAGAGCTCACATTTGCATCAAATAATCCAAAGGAAGAATTGCATATTCTTAAACTGAATACAACATAAAAGTGATTTCTTATTTCTTATTTTTCTTTATAGAGAACAATCAATTAAATCTTCATTCACATCACTCCGTCCTTATTAGCAAACAACCCTATTTTCAATAATAAGTCAACAAGTAAATTTACAGTTGTAAAACTCATCTTTAAATAATATCATGACTCTAACGTATCGATATATGTATTGACAATACTATGACTCTAACATGTCAATATATGGATCGTTTATAAATAATAAGATATAATAGTTCATGATTTTTTAACCTAATTTTTAAGCTAAAGTATAATTATTTCTACTAATATCTACTTTTTACTTTTTTGATAATCAATTTCGATAAAGTTCCTAAACCAATTTGAAGAAAGAGTGTAGACTCCTAAATTGTATGAAACATACAAGTGATGTTTGATTTTCAAATNCACCCCACCCCACCAGAAACTCCCTTTTCTCTTCTAATCAAAAAAGTTTCTTATTACTTTCTTATATATCTGCAAAATTTTAATGGAAAATACATTTCTCGGCTGTGGCGGTGGGATTTCTGGTGGTATATCAACTGTATTGAGGGAGGAAAATAACATGGCTATGTCATCTGAGGAATCTTCTTCATACCCAGATGAGGCTGAGCTGGAGTTAGGCCTTGGCCTTAGTCTTGGCGGTGGTGGAGCAAAGTCTAAGTCTAAGCCTCCGCTGCCTGCAGTGGCGGCGGCGGGTCCTTGGGGCCAATATGCTAGAATCTTGACAGCCAAAGATTTTCATTCTGTGGTTTCTACTAAAGAATCTTCGTCATCTTCTTCTTCATCTTCTGTGACCAAAACTAATAATAATCCCTCCTGTGGGGTGAAAAGAACTGCTGAACCTTCTTCACCACCCGGTCGCTCCGGTTCCAGGTAATAATATCATCTTGTTATACGATTTATGGGTGTTTTTAAGGCTTTGGTTTCGCAATTTTCTATAATGGAATGTGTGTTTTATATAGTGTTGTATTGCAGACTTCAATTTGAGGTTTTGGACTTCCTATTTTTGATTTGGATTTTATGTATTCCCTCTAAATTTGCTGTTCTTCTGCACATGATTAGATTCTGTTGTAGTTAGCGTTTTTGTTATTGATTCTTAACGAATCTGATGCCTGGAAAAATAAATTTTCTTTGTAGATATAGTTTTAGGAAAATACTTCTTGTACATCTTAATTGATGAGGTGTTAAAAAAAGAAAGTGGATGAGTTCCTTTTTTTTTTTTTTTTTTTTTTAATTTGGTTGATGAGAATTTGATCCAATCAAGCCCTTGTTTGAGCTCCATTCTTGCCAAAAATGCATTTTTGGACAATGTATTGATAGAAAATGTGTGATTAAAAAAATATAGAAAAATTTTAAATTTGCGTGTAATATTATTTTAATAAAGAATATTGTGGTATTGCGATTAACTGAAATCAACCCAAGTGTCCATTTAGGCAACACTTGTAGACTTTATGAGATCTCTGTGATATTAGCTTTTCTTCTTCAGTCAAAGAGGCACTTTTAATGTAAGAGCTCTTTAATTTAATTGATGCTGCACATTAGATCTGCTAACCATTTAATTTTTGTAGCTGCCCCCTGGAATTCGGGATTATTGATGTGGCAACGACACTTCTTTCAATTATTTCTCGTATCTGTTTCTAGAGCATGCAAACTAAGATTGATTCACGATATAATTTTTCTCTCAACTTTTATTTTATAACCACTATCAGTGTTTATTTGAAGAAATGTAATCTGCTGGTTAAAATTAATCGATTCCTCTTCACTCGTGCAATTTCATGAAAGCAGCCAGGTTGTGGGATGGCCTCCAATAAGAACTTACAGAATACAAAGCTTAGTAAACCATGCAAAATCACCAATGACTGAAGAAATTACCTCTGCTCTTGATAAATGTAAAAGCAACAATACTATTGTGGACAAGACAAACATTGGCAGCAATTTGAACAGAAATGTTGCAAAGGAAAAAGGGCTTCTCAAAAAACCTTCCTTGTTTGTGAAGGTGAACATGGACGGGATCCCAATTGGAAGAAAAGTAGATCTGAATGCCCATCGCTGCTACAAGACTTTATCTCAAACACTGGACGAAATGTTTAAACTCAGTGCAGCAGTTGGTGCTACACGTAAGTTCCTTGTTATTGGGGTGAATCACTGGAAATCTGGGTGTTTACTTTGCGTGTTTCTGATTTTCGTGTTGCTTATTATTGCTTTCATAATTGGAACTTTGGCTTAATCCATAATTCCATTTTCACGCCCTTTCAGTTTGTGAAACAACGCGTTTGTTAGATCTACTATTGATCCCTTGCCGCCCTCCTCAGCATTTGTGCGGGTTTTCCCCTTCACTAATTGCCCTCCCCACATTTCTTCTTCTTCTGAATTAAGGATACCGAAGACAAAATTAGAGAGAGAAAAATTATTTTAAGTCTTCAAAACTGATATGTGGATTATTGGTTTGGTCTGCCTTAACTAATGCAAATCCCACATCATTCTACGAGTGCTTGAAATATCCATACTAACTCTGAACTACATTGACTCTTAACTGATTCTGATGCTTTGTTGAAAATTAGGATCAAATGCAGAGGAGCAAGTTGTAATGACAAAACCCTCGAGATTGATGAATGTTTCGTCTGAATTTGTGCTTGCCTATGAAGACAAAGAAGGAGACTGGATGCTCGTTGGAGATGTTCCGTGGGAGTATGTCCCTTCGACTTCACATTATATATTTCTGACTCATTCTGCACCTCTATGGCTAGTTTATGTCCTCGCCAAAAGCATTAAATTTATAGTCTTCTCCTCTCTCTTTTAGTTTCTAATGAACGTAATCATGTTTATAGTGACAATACCGTGGCTACTGTGATTTTGTCAGGATGTTTCTTAGCTCAGTGAAGAGGCTTAGAATCATGAGGACGGCTGAGGCTAATGGACTTGGTATGTGGACACTTGTGTATGACAACAGTCAAATGCACACACCATATTTCACACGCGCACAATTTTTAGATGATGTGGTTCAACATGGTATCAAAGAAGAAAAGAGACGAGAGTTGAAATCGCTCCACCATCCGCTTATTAAAACTGTGCACGTGTTACACCTTTTATAAGAGAAAATTGGGTTTATAAGCATGAGAGAGAGCCTACTTTTGCTCTCTCATGCTTATATGTCGACTTTAAGCCAAATAAATAAGTTTGACCTCTCTTTAACTTAAGTCTTCTATTTCTATTTCTGATTGCAGCCCCAGGATCTAATGAAAAAAACCGGATACGGTCTATGGCACCAATATAAATTATATTCCAAATCTTATTAAGCAGAATGAAGAAGAATGGGAAGATAAAGATGCTGTGTGGTCGAAGAATTTTGTTGAGGCAACCATCGGTTTGGTCGTCTTTGCTTGTATGATTTTGGTACATTTTTTTATCGTGCTATGCACTTTCCACACATAACATATACACCACTCTCTGGGGGAGTGTTTTGCTATATAAAACGCAAGTTCCAAGTTTTTCATGTCATGTAGGTACACATCCTGCACTGGAAGTCATTGTAACTATGGGAGTTTCTGCTAGTTTTGTTCTTATTTTTCTGCACCCACAAACTGTTAAGCTTATCTTCGTAAATGAAAGAATATATGAGTGGTTTTTGTACAGGAGCCTGTTGGGATGGTGCAGTAGTGTTATTGTGTTTGTTAAGTTTCTTTTTTTCGTCAAGAATCATACATAGGAAATTTCAATGAACGAAAAAAGTGACAAGAATTAGAGTTGGTGTTTTGTGACTTGAAATGTGCTTATATGCCACAAGGAAAAGTAATTAGCAAAATTTTATTATTTTTTCTTGAATGCAGTAAATAGTGCAACTTAGCTCAATAATTTTGCATATATGACAAAAAATTACAATGTTATTTGCAAGAAGGAACATATACCCCTCCAAATAGGCAAGAGATTCTTGAACTTGCTAAACAAAAACTAGGTACAAATCAAAGAAGCAATGCAGAATTTGTTCTTACACAAGGCCGTTTACTGGTGATGTGCTAAATACTGGCCTATCTTTGTTCACAGAGTTTCCTCCATTGTTGCTGCTACTTTTTCTCCGAGGTTTAGCCTCTCCAAGCATTGTTAAAACATCCCGCATGGAAGGTCTATCCTTTGGGAGCTTGGCTGTACAAAGTATGGCTATTCGTAGGACTAACAACATCTCTTCTTGAACATGTTTAGTGTTTCCTACGGTTGGATCTAGAGCTTCTTCTAAAGATTTATCGTGCATTTTTTTGCACATCCATCCTACAATATCAACAGATTCTCGGAATTCACGATCCAACGGCCTTCTTCCAGTGAGAAGTTCCATTAGTACTACTCCATAGCTGTAAATATCACTCTTCTCATCAACTTTCAACGAATATCCATATTCTGTCAAGCAATTGTCAAGATAAATGATGGTTAGCTGTTATCATAGCCTTTGGTCCTAAATGAATAGACTCCAAATTATGGCCATTTATGGGATGTTTCAATCAGCCTATCAGTAAAATTTAACGCCAATGGAAAAACAGAAGAAATCATTAGTAGCTCACCTGGGGCTATGTATCCGTATGATCCTGCGACTACCGAGACTGTCTCGTTCTTCTTAAGCATCATTTTTGCCAGCCCGAAATCAGCAACTCTTGCCTCAAGATTGGCATCGAGCAATATGTTGTTTGACTTAACATCCCGGTGGATCACCGGTGGAAAACAGTCATGGTGGAGATAAGAAAGTCCTTGTGCAACTCCAAGAGCTATATTATAGCGTGAAACCCAGTCCACCAGCAACCTTCCGGCTTGTTTTCCATGTAAAGCTTCTCCAAGGCTGCCGTTTTGCATGTACTCGTAGATTATCATTGCATCAGAATCATTCTGTAGAAATCCTAATAGTCTTACAATGTTCCTATGTCTTAATTTCGCTAAGAGGTTAACTTCACCCACAAGATCTTCACTGCCTCCCATTTCGATATCAGTTGCTGATCTCCAAAGTTTCTTGACTGCAACAGTTGTACTTAACCTTTGAATCTCAGCCTTGTAAACTGTCCCGGTTGCCCCCATTCCAATCACATTCGATTCCTTAACGCAAGCTAGGATATCCCTGGTATTGAAACCGAGCCTCTGGAATGCCATCAATCTCCAAGGCCACTCTCCACTGCCCATTTCGAATTTTTCCTCAAAGCAGTTCCCATCGTGCAATCTACGGTACAAAATTCGAGCTCCAAAAGCTGCTATAACAAGAGCTAGAAGAGTCGAAATCCCAATTACCCATCCTGCAATGATGTGTTTCACGTGGAGGCCCCGCTGTTTTGAAGTGTATGGCTCATTGTGAGAGCACGGAGAAAGCACGCCCCCACATAGACCAGCATTTCCAACAAGATCATCTGGATTTATAGTTCTGAGCATCCCATTTGCAGGGACAGACCCCTCTAGCTTGTTATAAGACACGTTGAGCATTTCTAAGGCCGGTGAATTCCCAAAATTTTCAGGTATCCCTCCAGTAATAGAGTTATTAGAGAGATCCAAAACGGCCAATGTGGGCATCGTGGCTATTGCTTTAGGGATCGTTCCACTTAACTGGTTGTTCCGAAGATTCAGAGTCACTAATTTCTCACATGAAGCGATACTAGCTGGAATGCTTCCAGTGAAGTGGTTTGAAGAGAGATCTAGCACAGAAAGTGAAGGACAGTCTTGGAATTGATCCGGTATTTCTCCTACCAAGTTATTACCCGAGGCCAAGAAGTTTTGCAAATTCGGGATCGAAAGAATGGAGGAAGGAAGTGAAGACTGAAGGAGGTTTTTGGACAGATCGATAAAAGAAAGAGAAATAGAAACCGAAAGATCATTTGGGATTTGACCGGTGAGACTATTATTCGCCAATTCCAGCCTTTGAAGTTTCTCGAGTTTTCCAAAGTTAACAGGGATTTTGCTGGAAAGAATATTATTTTGCATTCTTACGCGAACTAGGGACGTGCAAGTTGATAAACCATATGGAATCGGACCGGAGAAAGCATTGTTGAATAAAATGAGCTTAGTGAGGTTACCTTGAGCGCATAAATTGGCCGGGATTGGACCAGAAAAGGCGTTAGACGAAATATCCAACCACTGAAGTGGTGAATTGCGGCCGAGGTCACTTGGCAAAGGACCTGACAAAGAATTGTTCCATAGTTCCAGCACCTCCAGTTGTGTTGACTCCCCAATTGCAGCAGGAACAGAACCTGATAACTCGTTGCACATCAGATTCAGAAGCTGCAAATACTTAAGATTTGCTATTTCGGCAGGAATTTCTCCTTCTAACATGTTATCAGATAAGTCGAGAAACTGTAGCGAAGTTATGTTACCAATTTCTGGTGGAATTCTTCCCTCCAAATTGTTTTTGTACAGGAAAACAGTATTGAGGAACTTCAATTTTCCCAATTCAGCAGGAATCGAGCCACCAAGATTGCCTATCGCCAGGTCGAGGTAACTGAGATTGGTAAGATTTCCAAACTCTGCAGGAATCCGACCTTCAAATTCGTTGTATCCGAGAACCATTGTCTCGAGTGATGAAAGCTCCCCTAGTTCTCCCGGTATCTGGCCAGTAAGATTGTTCCCCGATAGGCCTAGATACTTCAATTTCCCAAGATTCTTGTACGACTTTGGAATAGAACCCTCAAAGAAGTTCCCTCGCAAATCCAAGCTCTCGAGCAATGTTGCATTTCCAAGATCCTCAGGAAGATAACCCGAGAAGTTATTCCCCGAGGCATTCAATGTTATCAATGTAGCTGCCATTCCAAGACCAGCAGGGAATCTGTCGATGAAGAAGTTTTGGCTCAGATCAATGATCTTGATTGCAGTAAGATTTGACCAAGATTTCGGCAATGGCGAAGAAAATCCATTGCAGCACACGTTTAAATAGCTTAGGCTTTGTAACCGCTGGACGTCGTTTGAGAAAATCCCACTGAGGTTCATGTGGGAAAGATCAAGCTTCTCCAATGCACCATTGGAGTTGCACTCAACTCCAGTCCAATTGCAGTGAACAGTACTGTTCTTCATCACCCCATCAGGCAATTTCCAATCCTTAAGCTGACCCAATGGATCAACAAGACTCGATTTTATCGTCAATAAAACCGACACTTCATCGACCACCTCAGAATTCACAAAACAATAACAACACATATAACCATAAAAGAAAAAAAACAAATTGCTTTTCAACTCCATTTTTCCTCTCAGAAACTCTCACTTTTCCGCCATTCTTTAACGAAACCAGTGATCGGTCTGGCGAGGTAGAGGTGGAGAGTTTAACAGAAACCGTCTAGTTTTATATGAAAAACCTTAAGGGAGAGAAGATTACATGATCATTTAGTGTTTATATATATATAATCATACGGAAATTATTAGTTCTTTTATTATAAAGAACTCGTGAGATCTTGGGTTCTGTAATAGCTGGAAATTTTGGAACTTATGGAAATTGACTCCGACATGAATTATGGAGAGAATGTGTTCTTAGAACAATTTTTATCTTCATGTCATTTCTTATTCCGTTATTAATAGTCAACTTAATTCAGTAAAATTAGAGATACTTATCCCTCATTTTTTGAAATGAAAATGGGTGGAATAGTTTTTTTTTTTTTCGAAAAATAAGTGGTTGAAAAAGAATGAAAAGTTTCAGTTTACATGTAATATTATTTTATGAAAGATTATAATTGAAAATAGGAGAATGAAAAATGAAATGTAATTTAATGGGGGTCAAACGGAGACTTAATATCCTATATATGTCGCCCGTCCGCCACAAACAACTAAATGAGATGGTAAATGAAAATATTTTAGTCCCTCCCCGCTACCTGAAAATCCTCATAGGAGAAGAGAGTTACTCAATTGTTAAACATGTGTTTGACCTTTATTTTCTAAAACTCATTTTTCGATCACATATTTCATCAAAACCTACTAAAATGTCAATAAAAAAACCCACAATTTTAAGTGCCATTAGAAATGTAATTTTTGGTTTCTTCTTAAATCAAAATTAACTCAAAAGGCACAGATCTAAGTCGGTACTTGCTAAAAGTTAAAATAAGCACTTATTTTGGTTAAAAAGTTCCTTTATGCACTGTACAAAAGCACGGAAGAATATCAATAATTTTGATTTCTTCTAATGAAAGGTAGCTTCCAACTTCCAAGAATGACAAACATTCATACAAGTTATGGTTACTCCATCGTTAAGGTTGACGCTACAACATGGTACCCCCACCCCCCACCTAAAGCCAATGAAAAGTTTAAAAAGAGGACATGAATATTGCAATTAAGGGAATCTTTCCATGTTAAGAAGGGCTATGTCCTAATTTATACCAAGTTTTATCTTTTTGTTTTTTTTTTTTGTTTTTTTTTTCCTTTAGTTCTTTTAACTTTTTTAGATTGATATTTCAAAGTTTTTTTTTATAATTTCACCTCTGTTTGGTTTTGATAAAAATCGAATTTTTAGTAGATTTTCATAAAAGTCTATACAATATATGATTGAGAAGTTGATAAAAATTGTGGATCCCAAAAAATGTGTGGTTGAAAATAAATTTTTTTTTAAAATGCGGGCCAAATAGGAACAACAACAACTCTAAACAATTAAATGCGAGTGGACAATTTGAAAAGCCATATTTATCCAGCTCGGGATAAGCTCCGATGTTCATGAATTATCGAAGAGATTTCATCTCACTCCGTACAAAATGGAGAGTCGCGCGTACTAGTTAAAATAAAAATATTAGCGAATGTACATGAATTCTATTTAATATGTTATATCAAATATAACAAGATAAAATTCAAGAAAATCAAAATGTAATATTGTATTCCGTTCTACTCACTCTAATATGGAAAAACATATCATGAGTTGTTAATTAAATACAACGACATAGGGAGAGAGCATAACATGGAGAAAAAATGTAATCATTCATAGTCTCAAGACATACTTAGCCAAAAAAATTATTGAACACAATAAATAGTCCAAATTCACATGCAAACATGTGAGGAGAGTTTAATTTAAAACCATAGTGCCATATCACTAGGTATTATGTGTTAGTAAAGTGGATGGAGCCCATGTGAAATCTCACCTTCCTTGGTAATATCCTCCCCCCCCCCCCCCCCCCCCCCCC